GGGGGGGGGGGGGGGGGGGGGTGGGGATGCAAAAGGTAAGTTTGTTGTGCGGACGTCCTTTGTGGACAACCCCTATCCAGAGCCGTGATTTGTGAATGCCCCCTTTTTGGTTAAGCCTCTGCCCATAACTCACTTCCACCCCCTACCCCCGGCAAGGATTGATTTCTTAACAAAAAAAAACAAAAAAAAAAAACAAATAAACAAAAACTTTGACATAGCGCAAATCCTGTCCCAAGCCCATTGTGCAATGGTTTCTGTGAGAAAACGTCGTGTTTTACCCTGAGAATAGCACATGCCATGCCATTCTGAAAACTAATTCCGTCATGAAAAGGTTAAACGCAGACCTATGGCTTTGCTATACAGTTTGCTACCTCTTCGCAAGTTTCTAAAATCGAGGTGTTTTCAAAAGATTTGCTGTGAGACTGAGTGTTGTGAATAAAACTTTGATATCGTGTTTACATTTTGCCAATGCATAAGGCATAGTGAAAGCAAGATGGTTCAAGGTTGAAATACGACCATGCACATTAATGACATTAATATTCATATGATATTAATGATATATTGGTATTTCTTTGGTGTTCGTAAAAGTAAAATGTAAATATTCAACTACACGTAGAATGTTGAAATACAATAGAATATCACTTAGTTACTTAGTATTCATTATGTTTCTCTTATACATGTTACAATCACTATACATGCGCTTTCAGAAACTTTTAGTTTGTTTTCTAATGTCTAATGTCTTATTACTAAATTTACCGGTATTTTCAAAGTCAAAGTAAAGGCCGGCACAACTTGTTGAAACACTTATATATATAAAGTGTATTTAATATAATATTTAAACATATATTTAAATTGTTTAAATTGCTACAAAATCTTTTAAAACTAAAATGGGAGGAAAAAAAACTCGATCCCCTACTGGGAATCGATCTCAAAATATATTACCACCAAGCGTCCACTCTACCACTTGACCACACAAGATCTTCTCTAATAAGCATATCTTAAAACCAGGCCTATGGTACATTTTTGCCGTGGTGTACCCAGGCCAAAGCCCACGATTTCGCTAGGTACACCACCGCGGTTTACGCAGGCCAAAGCATCCACTTCGATTATTAAATTAACCAAGTCAGGGGGGGGGGGGGGTTGTTGGCTTCCAACATTCGGGTGGGGGTGGACTACTGACTAAATAGATTAATCTACGGTCATTATTAGCCATTAACAAAGCCCACGATTTCGCTAGGTACACCACCGCGGTTTACGCAGGCCAAAGCATCCACTTCGATTATTAAATTAACCAAGTCAGGGGGGGGGGGGGGGTTGTTGGCTTCCAACATTCGGGATGGGGTGGACTACTGACTAAATAGATTAATCTAAGGTCATTATTAGCCATTAGTCTGTATAGATTATGTGAGCCAAAAAGGGCAAAATTTTCAAAATTCATGATTATTCAATGATTATAAATTATTAATTATTGATTATGATTAAAATTAAATTCATTGAAATTAAAAAAATAATTTAGTTTACCTCCCATAAGTGTGGTGCGACATTTTTTGGCTTCTCTTTTATTTTGAGTACAGTTGATTCTGCTAATCCTTGTTGTATTGTCATTTTATGCTATTGCAACACAGCTGAAAGATATAAATTATAAATATGAAGAAGTGTTTTATAATTTAAAGCCAAAACTATTCAATGTTTGGGAAAAAATGAATGAACTAAACTGAGATTATTAGTATGACAGTGCTTAGCAGTTATACAGATAAATAATTGCCAGATATTTCCCTCCACAAAAATGTTCAATTTATAATAAATATTACCCTGGTTTTCCATATGTAAAATAATAGAGCAATCCTTATACTTAATTTAATAAATATTTTTTACTTATAAATCCCTTAGTCAAAACAGTTATATAATGATGAACGTAAACTAATTTTTTCCATAAGAATAAAATTTTAAAAGTTCATGTATTTCATACAGTTTATTTGGCATTTACAAGTAGCATTTTGCATGAAAATGTTAAAAGAAAAGTTTGTACACATTAAAAACAGGCAACAAAGTTGGTCTACTGCTAAAAAAATAAACTATTTATATGCAAACTTTACATTTTTAAAGAGGAATTAGTTTAGTAAATCTGTTGAAATTTTTATACGAGTTAAAATAAAACACTCACAATTTATTGTTATTATTTTACAATAATATCACCTAAAGTCGATAAGCTCAATGATTTTATTTTAAGTGCAGTATAATGTAATGTTAATGTAAATAATGTAATGTGCTTGTGATTATTTTGTGAACTTAACTCACATTCACGTAGTAGTGTAGTAGTCATTTCCACTGATTCAATCATTGACTTGAACAACAGGTACACACTCAAATTAAAGTCATCATTAAATGTTAAGTTAACAGCAACAGTACAAGTACAGTGTTTAGTGAAGTGTTAACTATTTGTCTCTTATTAATAGTATTAAAAACTGCTAGTGTAACAAGTCTTAGAAAATTTTATTCATTTTTGGGCTAGGGCCTTAGCCTACTAATTTAAATTACTTTCCAACTTACTTACTCCTACTGCTTTTTAGTAGTTTAGAATTCTAGGTTATTTTAAAATAGTTTCGGATTTACTTAAACTTAAATAGTTGTCTATGATGACTAGATCTCTGCCTATACTTTTTAGGTAATTTACCACTTGAGCGACAGTTATTAAAAAATCGTACAGTTCGGGTTTGAAGTGCTATTTAAAAAGTTATTCTTTAATTAAAAAGATAAAATTCTTTTGATTAGATACAATTCTTTAATTGATCCAAATAAATGGAAATGTTTTTTAATACGACATTGTTCATTTTCATTTGCAAATATAAAAGACATTATTGTAAAAATAGAACAAAATTAGCAATTTAATATATGAAAACAGAATTTGAGTTTATATCATCACCACAAAAACGATTGCGGAACATGAACTCATGCAAATATGAAGGGAACAGGTGAACTTTGTGCACATCCACATATTTTCAACATTCTTTGTGGACACCAGTGTCATTAAAATCGACAACATTTTGTTGATGGACCACAGTGGAGTGTTTGTTAATTCCGTAGATGTTTGTATAGGCCGCCTGTAACTTGAGCCTGTAAGGATATCTCTCTCTATGCAATCCTGTAACAAGGCTGTTTAAATAGCACTATAAAGCGGAACATGATTTTTTAATAACCAACACTGAAGTGGTAGATTACCCTTTATTAATATATATTATAATATATATATATATATATAATATACTTACAGGGCCTATGGGCTTATACTATAATATAGGATAGAATACTGTTGAAAACGGTTGGTTTTAAAAACTGTCCGTATGTCATTAAAATTAAGTAGGCCTATGCATCATACTAAAAGTCTTAAGTATTTTTTTGTGTGGACTTCATAATAATAAAAGCTTCCAACTGACTGCCTAAAACTAAAATTTTAGGTCAATCTGCAATAGTTTCAAACCCAACTTAAATATGTAGAAAAGCTAAATTCAGAATATGGCTAATATGATTTGAGTGAGGAGGGTTTTACAGTTAAACATTCTAGGGGTCAAAGATATTTTAAAAGTTATATTAAAAAAGGGTTTGGATCAGCTGCACAATTCTGTCTAAAAAATATAAAAAAATGAATTTATCTTAATTACTTACTCTTTTAAATAACGATAAATTTAGATGTGGTTTATTTCATAAGTGTTGAGGATACTACGCTTTCATTATAATATATTAAGTTATAACTACAGATTTTTTTATAAAACAATCTCCTGAGAATATGCACATGGAAAGATCCATGAATTTGTTTACATTGGTGGATTTTCAGGAAATGGTGGCCACACATTGAGTCTATTGGGTTTATAAATATGAGGAGGGGAAAAAATAGAAGTGTTAAATATTGAAAACTGGGCCTGGCAGGGTACGAAAGTATTGTCAGCCTTTGTCTACAAATTCTTCTTATTACTTTGAATAAATCTTAGTAAAGTAATAATAATTTATTAACAGTCAAATTAGTAGGCTACATGCCTACTATATAAGTGAGATGATATTCTTGTGAATATTTATTAATGTTTTAATTTGAATGGCATAACTAATTTCTTATGTCATACATTATATTGTTTTGTTTCCATTGACAGGTTAGCCTTTTAAGATGGTTGGCTCCCCACTGAGCCCCCAAGATGCTGCAGCGCAGCTTACTGCATTTAAGTCCTATGTACAGTTAATAGCAGACACAACAGCAGGAAGTAAGATTTATTTGAATATAGTAATAATCCTAAGAAAACCTTTTCTAAATTATACTGAACCTTAAGTAATACTCATTATAGTAGGGACTAGGCATATACATTTTTATGCATGAATGTTGTTCTTGTAAAATCTACTCCTGCACTTTAACATCTTTTAATGTAAATGATTTATTCACAGTTGTTGAAAAAAAACTAAAAGCAGCTCAAGAGCTCAGTGAGAATTTTGAGGTAAGGTTTGTAGTATAAGTTGCACAAACTTTTCAAATAAGTTTACAAACTCATTTTTTGATGTTAACAATATTTATTCAAAAGGAAGCAAAGTTTGTAATTTATCATTTTTTTCTATTCACTTAGAGTGTTGTTGCATTGCCGCAATATCCTCAATTTCTTGCTGAGCTTATGAGAGTATTTCTCAAAATACTTGATGAAGGAGAACCACAGTTCATAGCAGAACAAAACATACAGGTATTTTTTGGTTTTGGGGAGAAAGGAGAGCTGTATTATATTTCTTTAATGTAGTATGATGAATGTTTCAATAATAGTGATATTTTATTTGCCCCATAGTTTTCTTTCATACATTACTCCTGTTAATTTGTTTTTAATCATAGGTTTGATAATTTTAAAAAAAATCAAATATATGTCATTTTCAAAAAATGTAATAAAATTCTTTAGCAACTTCGGAAGCTGCTTCTGGAGATCATTCATCGCATCCCATGCAATGATCATTTAAAGAAATATGTTCAGCAGATATTAACTCTGATGTTCAGGCTTTTGAAAGTAAGTTTTGTTGTATCTTCTTGTAAGTCATGCTACTGTTATATATGTGTCAGCTAACTGGGAAGTCACAACGAGGTAAGTGCGTTGGATTGGCTGGTTAAGAATACGATTATCATGTGAGTTCAGAAGCCAGGAGAACTGATCATTGCCCCCATATCTTGGACCATGAAAGGTTGTGTTGGCATGTGAAGTTTAGCAATCTCATAATGGCAATAAAGTTATAAGATGTTCAAAGGACACTTGTCTTTGTTCTTAAAGAATGAGTTATTTTAACTGAACACCAAAGGATCCTACATGCATAAAGGTGCATGAGACTATCTTGAAATGCATTGATTTGACCGTTGTTTGAATCTTTGATAATATATAACTTAAAATATTATAGCAAAGTAGCTCAGTATATTGATATTTTAACATTTGTTGTAACAATTTCAATATATTAGAAAAACAAAGCATTTTTTAAAGCACATTTCCTGTTTTATGACTTAAAAATGATTGATACATTATAAAGTATTGACCATAAGCACCACTATAGATATACTTAATAATTTTTTTAAAAATTAGATTGAAAATGAAGACAATGTCCTTGTGTGTATTCGAATCATACTGGAGTTACACAAACAGTACAGACCCCAGATGAATGAAGAGGTTCGGGTATTTTTTTAATATTATCTCTTAAAGAAATATTATTTATATATATGTAAGAAAATTGAAAAATGTGTTTATAATTATATGTTTGATATTGTGTTTATGACGCTAATGTTATTTTTGTCACATTTATGATTTTTTTATTTATAATGAATTTTTTTCCAGTGGCTTAGCCTAAATATAGTGTTCTATTTTAGGTCTCAGAAATATATATATCATTATGTAGAAATAAATCCTTATCAAAATTTGTAGAAGTCAAGTGGCTTAGTTGTATGTGTACCAAGTATGAAAGGGAAAAAGATAAGCGTTCCTTAACTACTACAAATTCATCATGTCTGCAATCTTAGTTACACTTTTAAAAATTCCTATGTGATGTATAATTGTTTTTGCTATAGTGAAATTAATCATTTTTTTTGTTTTGTTATACCAGATAACTGAATTCATGAAGTTTGTGAAAGGGATCTACAGTAATTTGCCGAACCATTTACCTCGCATATTTGAACCCCGCTCCCAGAAAAAGGTAAAAGACCTTACAGATATCAATGTGGAGGTCTGGCTGCAAGATATTTTCACTGTGACAACTGTCCTCACAGACAAGAAAAATGCTGAAAATCAAAGTGTTCAGGTAAACTTTTTGGTGCCAACAAGATTGTTCAAATGTGAAAGTAGTCAAAATTAAACACATGTCATGTATTATTTTATAGTATTAGGAAATTAATTGTAAAAAAACTTAATGCCCTTCCTTGTAGAAGTATCCATGAAATATATTTATAACAATTTATTTTATTTTGGAAAAAAAATTACAATATTAAAATTTAGTTTGAAAAGGGATTTCTTGAGGTTTTTCAACTCATGAACAGATGTTAATGTATGGATTGTTATGTTACAGTACAACATAATACCCATGGGTGTTCAAAGCCTCAAGGTGCTTGCTGAACTGCCTGTCATTGTGGTGCTGATGTATCAGATGTACAAACAGCAAGTTCAGAATGATATGGTCGAATTCATTCCTCTGATTATGAATACTATTACTTTACAGCCTTCAGCACAACACAGGCATGTTTTAATTTTCCCTTGAAAAAGTCATTCCATTTTTGTTTTTGAACACATTTATTGGGGATGTTTAAAAATATGTTAGTCTTATAATTTTCCTCACTATGTTGAAGATGCACCATTTAAAAAAAAATTCTTTGACAAATCTGGAAGAGAAAAATGCAATTAAAACCTGTCAGTCTGATCACATATTTTGTGGACAAAGTATGACATTCCTTCAGGAATAAATTTTTGCTATTTTCTTAAACCACCTTTGTTATTGGGCATCAATAAAAGCAAAGTTCCCAAAAACAATGTAACATTTTTAAACCAAAATAAAATGAATAAAGTATTATCATTATATTATTAAAATAAGATGGGCTGAATAAGTCTGTTTTTTTCCCGCCATTTTTTAATGTAATTTAATTCATTTTTTTTTTACACAAGTGTCCTATTTCTGTCTCTTCCTAGAAATGGCCCCAATTTCAACAAGGAAGTATTTGTGGATTTTATTGCTGCTCAAATAAAAACACTGTCATTCCTTGCATACATCATCAAAATTTATCAGGCAAGTATATGTGAATACTAAACAGCGTGTTCAGTAACTAGTTTTATTAGATATTGCTTATAAGTAGATGTGAATACATTTATTTACATTATAAAAGTACTAAAAATATAAATAACTGAAATCATTTTTTTTAACTTTCAAAATCTGAAAACAGCATGACCTTGGAAACTAGCAGGCAGACAGTTATTTTATGTGGGAACTTACGAAGACATCAAATCTGTGGCCCACCAGTTATTTCTATTATTTATTTTCAGGGAGCAGTGAATAATCACTCTCAACAAATGGTGCAAGGTCTGCTGGGTTTGATGGCTCTTTGTCCACAAGAAGTTGCCCATTTGAGAAAAGAGCTTTTAATGGCAGCTAGGCATATCCTCTCTACTGATCTCAGGAACAGTAAGTATTTTTCTCCCTTTATGCTAACTAGCCCAAAGAAAGATATTTAAAACGTGTGTTTCAATTTTACCAAATTTAAATGATTGCAGGTTGTGACTTTCATTTCTCTATTTAAATTCCTGTTGTTAACTTTTATTATTAGTAAATGTTTTTAGTAATATTTTACTGTGGTTTCTTCTGTATTTGAAAACAGGATTTGTGCCAGTTATTGAAAAGTTGTTCGATGAGAACACTTTAATCGGCTCTGGCTGGACTACCTATGAATCATTAAGGCGAGTTGAGACTTTTGCCAACATTTTCTTAGTGATCAGTGGAAGCAAGAATTATATTAAGATTTTTTTTAACTGCTTAATGCAGATAGCTCTTCAATTTTTATTAAATAAATATTCAATTATAAAATTTTATTTGCAAAAACAATTTATAATGAATATAAGATTAAAATTTTCTTTCGCAGACCTCTGGCATACAGCACTTTGGCAGATCTAGTTCATCATGTTCGCAATAACTTGTCCCTTCATGATCTGTCACTTGCAGTAAATCTGTTCTCCAAGAATGTACACGATGACTCTCTCCCCAGCAGCATTCAGACTATGTCTTGCAAGCTTTTACTCAATTTAGTTGACTGCATTCGAACAAAAAGTGATCAGGAAAATGGAAATGTAAGTCTGTTTGTAATACTGTTGTATCTCTAAAAATCTTTGTTGCAGCCCATGAACAAACAAAGCACTTTTGAGTGCTGATTTGATAACAATTCTGGAACATTAAAATTACTTTTTAAAATAATAGATTATATTTGACTTTCTTGCCCCAATACAGGGAAGAGAATTACTTTTGAGGATGTCTGAGGTATTTGTCATAAAATTTAAAACTATAGCCAAAGTTCAACTTCCATTGCTCCTAAATAAATGGTAAGTAAATGGTAAAAGCTAATAAATTTATTAGAACATTAAAACACTTTTGTACATTCTTACATAATTACAATATTAGGCAATCCTCCGAAGTCCGGTCCCAAATTATTTTGAATGAAAAACATTGCAATGCACAGTGTGTATTGTTAGAAAACAGCAGAAATGTCAATCATAGTTTTTGCAAAATAACTATCACTTTACAAACCAGTAAATAAATAATAAATATTGTAATTGGCGCATAGCATAAAACGTTCTAAATGACTGTTGCGTCACTGAAAGATCCCCAAGTAGCTGGCAAACAGACCGCGACTAGTACCACTCTGATAGCTGAGTTTACGTTTCGCATGCATCCAAAGTCCTTCAATAGTTTGTGTGAATGTCCTGGTCTACTGGGTCAACAAATTCACGCGCTCGCACAATGACAGTGTGATCATAAATCCCGTTGTTTAGCTAAGCGACATTTTGATATCCCCACAAAGCGTCTGTGATGATAGTTGTCCCTGGTAAAATATGATTAGTGATAATGCGCTCAATCTTAACATAATTTGCCATAATTGAACAAACTTATTGAAATATATACGCAAAAATGAATTTCAAAACAAAATGATGCCTAAGACTTTTAAGTAAGGAGTAATTATTGGAAATAATTTGGGACCGGACCTCGGAGGATTGCCCAATATTATATGCTATCATTTTAATGATTCAAGTAAATGATGTACATTCATTGTCATTCTATTGTTATGGTATGTTTGTTTTATCTAGCAAAACCTCAAATGAGCCTTCAAAAATGACAGAAACCAAAGCAGTCTGTCCATCACCAACAAGTGCACAGGTAAAGATAAGATGTCAAATAGCAACGTTAGTTAATATTATCATCATTGTAAATTTGATTTATCTTTTATTTATTTATTGGGTGAATTACTTTTAAAATGAATCAATTTCCTTAATGCAGACAAAAATCATGTTTTTAAAAAAAATTATATATCATTAAATTATAACTATATTTCTTGTTCATTTGTATCTATTTACACTTACTGGACATTTATTAAATATTTAGGTGGCACAGCATTTGATTGCTTCTGCAGATGGCAAACTGCCTGACTCAATTAAGGATGAAAAGTTGCAGTCTCTTTATATAACTAGTGTAGAAGCAAAAGATAAGGAGGACAAGGTAAAGTCTTTGGGTTTTTTTAAATTTCAGATAGGAACTCACCATTTACCTCTCAAGGCAGACATCTATATCAATATATTATATAAAAATACTTTAAAATAAGACCTCAACAGGCATTTTTTTCCATTAAAGATTTTATTTCATTAGTTGTTTCTTTATTAAATGACTTTTCCCCTTTAGCCAATGATGCGTTTTGGAGCCATACCCAACCATAACAGTCCTTATTCAGTGTCAGAATGTCGCAGCTTGATGAAAACACTAGTATGTGGTGTTAAAACTATCACTTGGGGAACTCTCAACTGTAAAGCACCAGGAATAGGTATTACAATTTTTTTTTTTTTTAATACTTTTAAATTTTGAAAAATTACCAAATTTTGTACTTATAACATACATGTTTCTTTTTGGCGTTTTACCAATGAAGTATAGGAATAGGATCATTAAGATAGATGGTACCTTTTATATAGCCATTCTAAACTTATAAATAATCTTAGTGGGTTGCCAAATAAAAAGATTTAAAACTGCTTGTATATTTCATAAACTTTTTAGGATAACAAGTTTTATTTTAAAGAAATATCTTGATTGATTTCTAAAACGATTTATCTTTAAAATTGTATGTTATCGAATTGCAGCAAACAGTAAACAGTTTCAGTCCAAAGAAATTTTGGTTTATGTGAGGCTGTTAAAATATGCATTGAAAGCTCTGGATATCTACACCATCTGTGTGAATCCAAACGGTGGATTATATGTCAGGTCACAGAGGTATGAATTTTTTTGGGGTAATGGAAATTATGAATACAGGATACATTTTTCAAATTAATTTCAATTTGGTAAATACAATTTTAAAATTTTAAATGCAAAAAATTGTGCTAACCAATGGAAAAGTAACCAATTAAAAATAACTTATCTAATTTAATGGAATTTTGCTTATAATGAACATTATTTTTTTTAGCATACAAAATGTGAAAGTTAAAGAAGAAAAAGAAGCACTGGAACATTTTGCTGGTGTGGTAAGCTTGTAATATTATATTTAGTTTATATTTAGGATGATAATTTTAATATCCACTTGGTTTTAGGTCTGTTTTACTGATAATTTTTTGCCCTTGATTTCTGATCTTTAATTTATCATCAAAATAGTGTCCATCCCAAGTTTTAAAGAATAAGCTCAACATATATCATTCAATGAATTTACTTCAATAAAAAAATTGCTATCTTGTTTTCTCTTGTTACTAAAAAAAATTATCTTAGAAGGAATATTTACTCTTTTTTTAATTTCAGTTCACAATGTTGACATCTATTTCATTCAAGGAAATATTTTCTTCTGTTATAGAGGTATGTTATTTTAATTTTTTTGTTTTCAAAATGAATATACATTTACATACATTTTAATGATTAATATTTTGTATAAATATTTTATAAAAATAATACATATGTTTTGTAGACTTTAAATGATATTTAAATGCTATATAATGAAAATAACACAAAATCAACAAATAACCCATATTTATAGTTTATATATTTCATAAATCTGAACTTTTGTTTGCACAGAAAGTATTGAGGCAATAAATTTTGATACATATAATTACACCCTTTTTATTATTGTAAAAATTCTTCCTTTTTTTCATTTTAGTACATGGTGGACAGAATTCATGGAAATTTTGCCTTGCAGGTAGAGTATTTCTAACTCACTCAGCTTCTGGATTGATTATCTTATATAAACTTAAATGAACTAAATAAGTTTCCAACTGCTTTGTTTCATAATCCATTTATGCAGTTGTCTTTTAGGGCTAAATTTTTCCAGTAATCTTTTTCTAGTTTAAATTTCCTTCCTAAGTTATGGATTTTTTCCCTTTTAAAATAGCTTAGTAACCATTGTCTTATTTTATTAGCAGGCTTTCATCATATTTAGGCATTAACTGTAAACTTTTTGCTCATCTTGGGGGCTATTCCTTTTTGTTTTGTTGAGTAATCTACTTAATTTTCTAAGGAGTGTTAATTTACAAGTTTTATCTACATAAATAATCCATTGTAAATATTCTTACATTTGAATTTTATTATTAACTAATGTTAATAAGTAATGTAATGCCTTGCTACATTATTATTATTACTTTAAAATACTTTTAATTGGAATATTTTTTTTGTGAAAAAAAATTTTAAATCTAGATTGTTGCCAACTCTTTTCTGGCCCATATGTCAACATCAGCTACATTTGCAACAATACTTGTGGAATACCTACTGGAGAGAATACATGAAATGGGATGTAGGTTTATTTTTGTATATAGATTAAAAAAAAATTAAAATTAGTTAAAAGTGAAAAAAAAAGAAAAAAAAATATTAACATTAAACATGAATCATTATTTTCTGATTTGTATTATTTTTTTTGTTACCAGCCAATGTGGAACGTTCCAACCTATACCTCAAGTTGTTTAAAATGGTGTTTGGATCAGTTTCCCTTTTTGCGGCAGAAAATGAACAGATGTTAAAAGTAAGGGATTTATTTTCGTTTTAAATAGTTGAGATTTTAACCACTTTGGAAAGTCGAGTTGAATTTTCTAATCTTAAAAATTCAATTAACTCAATTATTTTTATCTCTTCTGCAGCCACATTTACACACCATTGTCAACCGTTCCATGGAGTTAGCTCTATCTGCTAATGAGCCGTACAACTACTTCCTGTTGCTGCGTGCCCTATTTAGATCAATTGGTGGTGGAAGTCATGACCTGCTCTATCAGGAGTTTCTTCCTTTGCTGCCAAATCTATTGCAAGGTAATAACTTAACATGTTTAAATTAAATAGCCTTTGACAAATTATATTATTTAAAAATAGAACTAAGCTTTGTTTTAAGATGCTTGGACAGTTTACATGTTCTGTTCAAGGGCTACAAAAATTACTTAAGTTAGTGGTTTCAAGGCCATCCACAAAAGATGATAAAGTGAGGGATTTTTGTGTGTTATAAATGTGGTCAAGAACATATGTTCATCTAGATATGTAAACAAAATTAGTTTCTAAAATTATTACCATTAAATTTGTAAAATGTATAATTTGTTTTAATGAAGGTTTGAACAGCCTGCAAAGTGGTTTACACAGGCAGCATATGAAGGATCTGTTTGTAGAGTTGTGTTTAACTGTGCCTGTGCGTCTCAGTTCTCTTTTGCCCTATTTGCCCATGTTGATGGATCCACTGGTCTCTGCACTTAATGGCTCGCAAACCTTGATTAATCAGGTTGGTAAAATGGAAAACAAGTATTACATTAGACTATTTGCTACTCTACCTTCTATTTCACTTTATATCTATTGATTAGTAGTTTCTTCTTATGTTTACATTATTAGAAAATTTATATATTAGATACAAGTTTTATAAAGATTATTTCTTTTCTTAAGGGTTTGAGAACACTTGAGCTTTGCGTGGATAATCTCCAGCCTGATTTTCTCTATGATCACATTCAACCAGTTCGTGCAGAACTCATGCAGGTATATTACATTTTTTATTTAATTTTTAAAAATTATTACTGTAGGCAGCCAATTACACAAATTAGAATCTAAATGTATAAATTAAATATGTTTAACATTTTTTTAAAGTTTCATGGTGTCTTTTAAGGCTTTGTGGAGAACACTGAAGAATCCACAAGATGCAACAGCTGCAACAGCTTTCAGAGTTTTAGGAAAATTTGGTGGTGGTAATCGTAAAATGCTTCGAGAGCCTCAGGTGGTGAGTGAAAATAAATTTTATTAAGAAGTATTAAATTGTCTTTAAGCACTGCTTCTTTTTAAGATGTGCATAAATAATAAATGATTACTAAAACTGTAATTAATGTAACTTCTAGTCAAAGTCCTATTTTTAAAAATTATAGTGCCTGAATTAAATAATCAATTTAAAGATAATACATTTATTTTGTTTGTCAACAGTTGCAATATAATGCCAAAGAAACGGTAGGACCTTGCATCAACATACACTTTCAGGAGAGTAAAACTCCTATATCTCTACCTGTAGAGAAGGTATGTTTTTAATTCTATTACAAGGGAATATTCAGGTTATTAATCTCATAACTGAATGCTAACTGTAACTTTTTTTTTACAAGGAAAATTAATAACCACATTTAGTGATATTTTCAAACATTCAACAGGCTGTAGAATCTGCTTTAACCACACTGAAGAGCTCTATGATTGATTCCTACAATCGACGTCAGGCCTATGATTTGATTAAATGCTTCCTTATTTCTGTAATGAATTTGGAAGACGAGAAGCAAACATTGATGCATCTGTTCTCTCACCCAAGGTTTGTTTTTAACTATAAGTAATTGTCAAAGATTTTCAATTTATAAGTTTAATATAAAAAATTGCTTTAAATAAAATTTTAAGTAGTCATTTTTAAAATGACTTGAATATATAGGCAAAAAACTGACAGCAAAAAAAAATTCTTAGGAACACAAATAAATACAATTTATGCATTTTCTACAACTTTAGTTACAAAGAAAAGGAAATCACCCAACTTACAGCCCAGATTTACAAAAACCCAGATTCTTACTCCCGCAAGGTTCATGAACAAGCTCTTACAGGAATGTTTGGTAGGTCCTGAAATTTATATTGCTTTAATTTTAATTAAAAAAATTTTTTTTATTTACTTTCATAAAGTAACACTGAAATCTATTTATTTCAAAATTGACATTCTATATTGTTTTCAAAGAAAATATGTTCACAATCAACTACTTAATTCTGCAAAAATTTCACCACTCTTTAATTCGTCCATTGAAATCACATTTTGATGTGTTTGACAACATTTTGAAAAATATATTTTATTAAAAAAAATAACTTTCGTCATAAGTTTTTTTGGCCAAAAATCTTTTTTTTTTTGTGTGGTCAATTTATGAGGCTATCAAATTGATCTCTGGTTCCAGTGGCTGCAGCCATCAAGGATCTGAGACCAACTGCCCTCCCTTTCATGGTTTGTATGGTGAGACACTACACCCTCATCACCATTTCTCAACAGTGTGGTAGGTGCCATTTCTAAATATTCTTATAGTAAACAAACCCTTGCTGTTTTCAGCCTCACAAGTGTAATTTTCCTCATTCTTCAAATAGTCTATATGTTAAATAAGATGCAATGTTTATTGCTTGGTTTTTTGTTTCCTATACATAGGTCCATTTCCGGTTGGAGAAAAACAAACTAAACTCCAGGGCATGGACACACAGATTCTGGTAGATGCCCTCAGTACTATCATGGGACATGAAGAGAAAGAGTTGTGTAAGCCTGGAAATTTTTCTTTAGCAGTAATCATAGACACAGCAACTACCATCCTAGGGACCAAAGAACGAGTAAGTAGAACGATCTTAAATTTTCCTTAACTCCATGTCCACGGTGCTTCTTAATCTGGGATATGCTTTATATAATTAAATGGAATAGTCTGTTTTTGTGTGATTTTTTTATATTGAAGCAAATTGTGGCAAAAATGAAAACCCACTTGTGATATGTTTTAGAAATAATCGTTTTAATCTCTACCATGGAAAGTATTTCTGTTAATAAAGAATCTTTATAACACTATAATGTTGTTTTTATCAACAGGCGTGCCAATTGCCACTATTTGAATATGTGGCTGAGAAAATGTGTGACCTCTGCTACAACCGTGCTTGGTACTCTAAATACGGAGGGTGAGTGTTACTGACACTACTGATAAACTTTCCTTGTCTTAATGACACCTTTCTGCAAACATTTTTAGTTAACTGAATATAACATTGACCCACAATTAATATTTTACTAATTTTTGCTCAGATGTCTTGCCATCAAATCCTTGTATGAACGAATGAGTTTCAAGTGGGTTTTAGAGCACCAGTACACATTTCTGAAAGCTCTTCTCTTCATCATCAATGACTTGACAAGTGAGGTAAGGAGAGATGTCACGAAGATTAAAATAAAACACTAAGTGTTAGTGATAATTTGATTGCCTCCTCCTCCTCCCCCTCCACCTCTTAGCATATTTTAACTATTACAGTAAGGTTGATTTGTAATGTGTTGTTTTAATTAAAATAATAATTTTAATCAACCTCAGAAATATATTTTGATTGGATGAAAATAATTTGATCAGGTTTCAAGTGGTGCAGGTGAGCTGGCTCAGAAATGTATAGAAGAGATGCTTCGGCTCTGTGCAAGACCTTTAGAGGGAGAGGAGGCTACTGAAGATTTGATTGCAGCTCAGAAGAAGTCACTCTTTGATGTGGCACACAAACTTATCCCCCAGATAACAACATCTAATACACTGGTCAGACAACAAGTAAGTTAGTATATGTGTATAGAAATTTTCTTCATTCTCATGTTAATCCATGGGTTCAATCACAAATAGTAATTTTCTGGGTATGTATGGCTGTAATGCTGTGTTCAATATGTGCGCAAACTAACACTCCCAGAAGTTGGCACTAATTGGGATTCTTATAAAGTGTGTTACTTGAATGCATGTTTTGTCAAGTAACTTAAGTAGATTGGAGGTTCATGCATTGCCACCGCCATTGTTTGGTGGGTTATTTCTTGTATATCAATAAACCTGTCAAATATTACACTGAACATTACTGTTCAAGTTAAGATTTTCAGATATCTGGACATAAACTAGTTCCTTGGCCTTTTTTATTTCAGTGCATGAAATCTCTAAAGATTTTATCAGAAGTTACCAAAAAAACAGTCACAGAAATCATGGAGCCGCATAAAGAGCTGTTGTCTGACATGATCCCTCCCAAGAAACATCTGCTAAGAAATATTGCACTTGTTTCACAGATTGGAATCATGGTAAGATTATCATAGAATTGGGCAAATTGGCTCTTCACCAAAAGTTTTTATTTTATTCATATAGTAAATTGTGCTGGGTGGTCGAGTCGTCTAGACTGAGTCAATGCCAAGCTTGCGGTCTTGAGTTCAGTCCCCAACAAAGACCAAGTCAAGCAAAAACATCACCAGTACATCGGGTGGATGGGACCTTCGATGGCAATCATCTAAGAGAAGGAAACTCTGAATCAAAACCCAGAGAAGGAGTCCCATAGGTGGATAAATCAATACAATAAATAATTATACAACTCTAGCGACGCTGCTGGTACCAAGCTGTATCAACCACATATGATGTTCCCTTGGGCTGTCTAGTTATGTGGAGAGAGGTGATTTGCTGTACAGGGAACCAGCTTATAGTCCTAAAGTAAAAAAACCCAACCCTTGTGATTTTGTCCTGCGAAGTCTACACCATTGTCACATGTCACAGACGGAAGCCATTAAATAAAAAGACTAAATTGTCTTTGATTATAATATAATATATTTATAATCTCTAGGATGGCTACACCTTCTGTGTTACACTGGAACCCAGGCTTTTCAGCTTTGATGCTAACCAAGTTGAGCATAATGTTTTCTTCAATGAGGTAGGTTCAATGTGAAATGTAATTCTCAAAAAAAATTGTTTAAATTATCCTATACATTTTCTTTAGGATTTTATTCCTAACCTTATGTAATATAAAATTAACTCATATACATTTAATATAAAACTAGCTCACATACATTTAAGAATTTTTTGAACCTCCTAGGTGTTCAACATGTGTGATTTGGAAGAAGCCACTTTAATGAAACAGCCTTGCTACAAGAATATAACAAACCTGGTTCCATTAAAGAAGAGTGCCCTCAGTAAGTAACAACTACTATATTCCACTTGAGGTGGCAATTAAGAATTTGTTTTATCATTAACTGGTCTTGTGCCTAATAACAATGTAACTACTTGTTTTGATGAGTTACTAAATCATCATTGTATTCAACAGAGGCTCTGGCAGCTTGCAACCTGGTACTTAACAAGAAAGAGAAGATTTTCCAAACACTCTATAAAGCATTGAACAGCTCCAACTCTGAAATACAAGAAACTGCACATGAATCGATGAAAATGGTAAAGACAAGAAAATATCAATGGCTTATGTTAAATATTTTAATAATTGATTATAATTTAATGTTGAAGTTACAAAGTGTGTAACATTTGAAACATAATATACTTTTACAAAATATTCATAATATTAAATTAGGGTTTTGTATTTTAACTTTATTTTAAATCCATATCTAATGCTTAAATATGCAAATACATTTTTTAGAAATTGGAAGTCTGAAAACTCTTCAGATTCTAAAATAATATTTGATGGATTAATTTTGTTCAAATAATCTTATCATTATTGAAGATGTTTAATGAGATTAATAACAAAATGGTCCACCAGAGGGAAGTTTTTAAAACATGTAAAGGCCATTTAATTTTAATTAAATTGTAATTTTTTTACATGAATTTCTCCTCAGTTTATGCAAGGATGTACAATAGATGTGGATATGGCATATGCTGCTATGCGACCACTACTTTCAATGCTGGGCGACTACCGTGGACTCAACCTCAGTATAATTAAACGACTGTCATCATTGGTGCAATTGTTCCCTAACAGCTTTAACGAAAAACTTTGTGAATCTATGCAGGTAAAACTGAAAACAGATAGTTAATCGAAAAGAAATTTAAAAATAAGATTAAGAACACATCAGATATCTTGGAAGAATGAAACTGGGTTGTATTTTCATATGGCAGATTGAAAGACATTTTTTAAGCTGTCATGTTTAATTTTATTCATACTGTGAATGGCTTCTGTTCCTAATGATATAAAAAAGTAACCATTATTAAATATGCAACAAGTTACAAATTGATTTGATGAATAGGATATCTTTGATGATGTGATAGATCAACTGGTCTATTTGCTATTTAAACAGGGACATCTCAAGAAATGGATTGAGACTGCACACACTAATCAGAAATCAGGACAACCAAGACCAGCTGGTCAGGTGCTTTCAACTGTAAGTAAACCAAACGATCTTAAATTTTTTTCCTTCCTTTTGTAATCACCAGTGGCTAACTACCAATCAAATTTAGTATATATATCTAACTTATTGTAATCTTAGATATTTAGTGCTTGTTTGATTCTCAACACTATCTATGCTTCATATTGCTGGTATCATGAAATAAATGGGCCTTCTCATTACCTATTGATTAACCACTTAAATATCATGAAATCTTATTTATCAAAGATTATTATTGCACACCCTTATCAACTAACAAATTATATATCAACATAAATTTTTTTTTTTGTTTCTTTTCAGGAAGTGCAACTCTGTGCAGCAATCATCAACATATTCCATTTGATTCCAGCTGCAAGTAAGAACTTGATAGAGCCCCTAACAACTTTAGTTTTACTTGGAGAAAGGGCACTTCTCATGGAGGTATGTAGATTCTGTCTCTGATCTCAAATAATTTAACATGTAGCAATTCCAGCACTTATTGGATAAAAATTCAAATCTGTATGCTCCTGAAATTTCTTTATTTAAAACATGATCCTGACTTTCACTTTTATATCCATTACAGGCCAGCAGTCCATTCCGTGAACCTTTAATGAAGTTCCAGCTCAAATATCCAACGCAAGTGGTGGATTTGTTTCTCACTGAAATTGCTCTCAGGGACCAGCAATGGTGTCGCTATTTTGAGGTGTTTGTTGCATTTGACAATCTGACATGCCATACGAATTCCATCCAACCCTACCTCCAAATACAAAAATAAATTTTTAAGCCTTCTTATGAAATATGGTTTAGGAAATCAAACATGACTAGTAAGATGTTGATGTCAAGCAAATATGATACCAGTTAATCCTAATACAGATAAGTTCCTGATTTCTAATCTTTTCTGATTATGCACTCATTTTTTAAAATTCTTTGCTTTTTGTATTGAATTTCAATTCAATATTTCTTTCAGTATCTCTTAAGACATAAAGATGGGGAGAAATTCTGTGAAGCTTTGAGAGTCAATCCGATGCGTCTTGCCAATATGCTATCTGGTCAGCTTCAGGTAAATATTTACATTTCAAAACTTGTGTGTATAATCTTTCTTTTCTTTTTTTTTACATTATAAGAATAAATGTGCTTTGAGTTCCATTATGAGCACCCATGATGTTATAAATATTTCCTCTTGCCACCTTATGTTTTTTTTTTTCATTTAATAAACATTTGTGTTTTATCTTAGACCACACCTGCCAGTCCCATTGCCAGTCCTGCCCCAGTCAAAAATGATCTCCAATATAGGGCAGTCCGACTTATTGCTCTGTTAGTGAGGTATGATGAGAAGTGGCTGCCTCAGCAGACTCACATGGTAAGGAATTGTTTTATAATTATTGGTTTATTTAATATATTTGCCACTCTTAACATGTCAAATTTAATATAACTTATTTGATCATCATCTTTTTGATCCAGTGTCTGACCATTGGAGCATGTGCCCTACAGCTTGAGGCCATGGTCAACATTATTTGCAGGTCTTCCTCAAGCTGTTTTTCTCCCTTGCTATAGGGTGTTACCATAGCAATCATGGTAGCTAATGGGTAGTAAATTGCTGGGCAGAGTAAAAGATGGTGTGGTACTGTCTCTTTTGAATGTTTGAAGAAAAAAAGCTGGGGGGGGGGGGGGGGGGCAAGATGGTGTTGGGCGTGGTGGCTGAAGATGCAGAAAATATTATTTCAATTTATTTTCCTATTTATTAATCAACCCTTGACTACTTTCTTGTCAAAAACTTTACAAAGCAATTTTTCTGTTCGCTAATTATTGACTTTTGTTCTCTGATAGAGACCATTGCTGCTCTCCATATGGGTATCTGACAGTTTTCTTGAAAGACACAAAGCTGTGGTAGGTTATTTTGAATTCATTTTTTTTTTTAAATTTCAGTTTGTTGACAAAGTATTTGTGTGTGTGTTTTTTTTTGTTCCGTTATTTCATGTTATTTTGACTGTTGACTGTTTTCAGGATGAGTTGGACTATGTCTATTGGAAGGAGCCTGCGCTGATCCTCAAGTGTCTTGTCAACTATTTTAAGTAAGTTTCAGTGTACTTAAATATGTTCTAAGAGTTTGTTTTTTAAGCAACACAACTTGTCTGTCATTAGATGAAGATTCTAAATGAAGCATTCAGGTTTTGATAGTTAATTTAACAAAGACATACACCTGTTGATATTAATAGAGATATAACATAAACGGAATGCCCTAAACAAATATTTTATTGACAATTTAATAGGAAAAGTTAATGTAGTGATAGAAATTGTTAGTGAAATGTTACTTTAAAAAAAATCGTTTTAATGTAATGATACATCATCAAGATACACCATTTTAAAAAAAAAGATCTAAATGTTACTTATCGTATAGGTATTTTCTTCAAAGACCAATTATTTGTTGCAATCTTTGTGAAAAAGCTGTTTATGACATTTCAGACACCATACTGATGACTGTGAGCTACTCTTCCACATTCTGCGTTGCTTTGTCAATCGGTTCATTCCACAGTTTCAGTTTGTCAAAGATTTTTTAGATGAAACTGTCTCCAAGGTTATAATTCTTTTATAACTTATGTTCAAACTATTTCCTAAAAATCTGTCTTAGATTGTAATGCATGTTTGTATATATGACATAAATTAGTTGTTTCAAAACTTATTGTGACTACTTAAAAATAAATATATTTTCTTTTTCAATCTAGACTTACTCAGCTGAATGGAAGAGAAAAGCATTCTTTAAGTTTGTTAATATCTTTCATGATCCTAGCTGGCCCCAGGAACTCAAAGCAAAGGTGAAATTTTATATTGATTTCGCAGTAAATAACAAATATGTTACTTTTAGACAAACTTATAATTTCTCTTTCCTTGGTTAATGCATACTCTTGTAATTTCTTTTCACAGATTTTGCAGTACATTTTGATACCCTGTTTCTACCACTCCTTTGAGAAAGGAGAAGGTGACAAGCTCATAGGTGGTCCACCTGCACCTGATCAGGACAGTGATGATAATGTCATCAGTCTCTTTATCAACCGTATCATAGATCCTGAAAATCCATTTGGAACTTCTGATGCTGTCAGGATACTCCTGCTGCAGTTTTCATCTCTGCTGGTGGAGCAGGCATCCTCACATATTCATGATGCTGCCAACAAGTCAGTCACAAACCTAGTTGTTACATTTTTGTGTATTTTAAAAATTTGCTTCAAAAGTTTTTTTTTCTTTTATCTTCAGCTTTATAAATTCAAAGTTTGTGTAATAGGCAACTTTTGATGTTTTTGGCCAATCAAGAAATCAAAGTATTGACAAACTACTGGTCGTTTTACACTCCTTGAAAAAAAAATCTTGAAAAACAATAACATGCATGCACACAAACTTGTAATTTTTAAACATTAATCACATCTAAAGAATACATATAATTTTTAAAAATGCAATGTAATTTTAAAGACCATTTTCTACCAGAAAACAAGGTAACAAGCTGCGAAGACTTATGACCTTTGCTTGGCCATGTCTTGTCTCTAAGAACTGTGTGGACCCAGCAACCAAATACCATGGTCACCTCCTGTTGGCTCACATCATTGCTAAGTTTGCTATTCACAAAAGAATTGTTTTACAGGCAAGTTTTCATCTCATTATATTGCATAATATTGCAATGTGCACCGATCACGAGTTGTAAAGGATAGAATCTCTCAAATTTTTATTGCAATTTAAACGTTTTATTTTAAAATTCATTAGTTTGTTTTCACAGTTTGTTGTTTTCTTTCAGGTGTTCCACAGTCTTCTCAAGGCTCATGCCAATGAAGCCAAAATGGTTGTCCGACAATCTCTTGAGTATCTGACGCCTGCTATGCCAGGACGCATGGAGGATGGCAATGTAATTGCAGCATTCATTGGTTTTCGTTTGGCTTAGTTTTTTTTCCCTGTATGCAGTACTAACCACTATAAGAACTAATGACTTTAAGATGTTTGACACATTCACAAGTATAGACTTCACTTCATCTTCCCAGTACAGACAGAAGTTTTTAAAAAATATATATTTTTCTTTAGGGAATGCTTACTCATTGGACCAAGAAAATTATTGTTGAGGAAGGACACAGTGTCAATCAGTTGGTGCACATTTTGTAAGTACTGTACATTTAACTTATTTAGTTATGGATTAATTCCTTAATTTATAACTACAGGATTTATTTAACGTCCATTTTAAAATGTTTTCAGGCAGCTAGTGGTACGCCATTATAAAGTATACTACCCTGTCCGACACAGTCTCCTTCAACACATGGTCAGCTCACTACAGCGTCTTGGATTCTCACTCAGTGTAAGCTATTATTTAAGTATTATTTTCCCAGGCCTCTTTTATGTTTTTAGTAAAGATTCCTAAAAATGTTTTTGTTTCTCTTAGCCCACCCTTTTGTGACTTTAAAATAATAACAGTGGTCTTATATAGCGCGGTACCCAGCTTAGGGCTGGGCTCACTGCTCTGCACATAAAAAATATTAGCAAACATAATTATGACATTAAAAATTACATACATTTATTTAATTTAAAAAAACAGCTGTATAAAAACAAAAACAAAGTATATATTCACCCCACCCACCCGAGATATATTTACATGTCAAGCCATGGACAACACCCAACAGCATCGTTAATCTGTCAGAGTGGGGTGGAAATCAGTCGGGATAGTAGAGTTTGAAGAGATGAGTCTTGAGGGCAGTTTTGAAGGCCTGGATTGCTATATTTTTATTGATTATACCTTTGCTGTTGTTAACAGGCAAGCTTAGAACACAGAAAACTTGCAGTTGATCTGGCTGATATCATAATCAAGTGGGAACTCATGAGGATTAAAGAAGATCTTGAGGGCAGTGGAGAACCTCAAGTAGGTTAAAACTTTGATTGTTCTTTACAGAATCATTTATTTACAATGTCTCTACTCCTAACACACATTTGAAGAACACCTTGAGCTGGTATTTATTTTTAAAATGTTTTCATACTTTCAGTCTCCAAATCCAGATGGAGCTTCCACTGCATCCAGTGGATCATCCACCAGCACAGCGGGTGCAGGACAGCCCCCAGGAATCAAGAGATCACTTTCATCTGTTAACTCGCCACAAGAACCTAAGAAGGTCAAGACTGTTGGAGCAGTAAGTTTTCACATAGAAACAGTGAGATATGTTTTTTGAACTATTAGTTCATACTTTTTTTTTTAGCTTATTGCAATAGAATAGAAGCAAATGTCCAAGCGAATGTTAGATTGCCTGATTTTTAAAAATAAAAAAACATTTGATTCATGTCTATCTTCATAGGTTATTTTCATTTTCACAAGCTCAGGGTGAATTTTTGTTGACTTGGAATAAATTTTAGAATTTTTCAATAAGACAATCAGCGAAAACTCCTGAAAAATTATTAACAATTATGCAGTTGTAATGAATAAATATTATTTGTTGATGAAGTAAGGTTTACTTATTACATCTGTTTTATCCAACAGGCTGGAAGATCAGATGTGAACAAACCCATAGACAAGCAATACTGTGATGCTGTAGCCAACTTCTTATTGCGCATAGCTTGCCAGGTTAGCTATGAATTTATGTCCCACATCCACACTTGTTTTTATTATAAGCTTTACTTCATAAGTAGATTTTCTAATATCTTTTCATTCTAAAATCAGTCAGGTTTATACTGAACCATCACAGTAAGATTTATTTAAATATACTGACTTTGTTATATTAGCAATATACTAAATAATTTTCTACAAAATTTAGTATTTTAATTCTCACATGCAAAATATCGAATAGAGCAGGACAGTTTACATAATTTTTAGATTTTTTTTAAAACTCTGTAAAGGCAAGTGCTCTAACCATATTTCATGATCAATGTTTGAAAATTCACTTATTGAGATCATTGGTTTCAGCACCACATGTTACAGTGGCAAAGAGAGCATTTTTCTTCTTACTAAATCCCATTAATAGCCTCTCCTTGATCATTTTGCCAAACAGGTTAACGAAGCTGCCAGTGGGGCAGTAGGCCATAGCTCAGCCGGTGAGATGTTATCCAAGCGTTGTGTGGCTCTACTCAAGCTGACCATGAGACCTGACGTCTGGCCTAATGTTGAGCTTAAGCTCAGCTTCTTTGATAAACTGCTAAGCACAGCCACAAGTGCCCAGCCCAACATCAGTAACATTGTTGTAGCATTGGAGCTCCTGGAATTTCTCATTGGCATCTTGGTTAGCAATTCATTTTCATCATCTGAAATAAGCATTAGTGCTTAAAATTGTCACCTAGTAACTATACATGTATGAAATGTAAAAATAACATGCACATACAAATGATGAAATACGCAAGTAATTTTTTTGTGCTCTGTAGTTTAAGCCAATCAATAACTATAAAATAGACTCTTGGCAGTTACATTTTAAATTGATATACACCTAATTCTCCTTCACATCCTGGATCTCAAATTTGATATTAGATGAATTTAAAGCTAGTCACATTATATATGCTATAAGCATTTTCTAAAGGGTTGTAGTGTTTGTTTTCTCATTTGACTGTTTTTATTTATTGCCAAATAGAAGAAAGAGATGATCCTGTCCAGTTTCAAGCCCCTCCAGCGTGGGATCTCTGTTTGCATGAACTGCAACAACACAAAAGTCATCCGTGCTGTTCACAAGCTACTGATGAGTCTCATGAGTATTTTCCCCACTGAGTCGGCAAACTGTTCTGTGGCCTCAAAATATGAAGAGCTAGAGGCACTGTATGCCTGTGTCAGTAAACTAATCTATGAGGGACTCACCAACTATGACAAGTCAGTTTTTATTTTATTCTTTTTAATATATATACAGAATTTAAATTAATAAGTTGATACTAAAAATCGGTTTTAGAGACATTTAGTGCATTTAAAATACTTTGCTTGATTTGAGACCTCTGTTTAAAATATAAAAAAATTTTAAATGTTAATGTTAAAATGTTTATCGAATAAAGCTTTACAAATGAGTTGCATGAAACATTCCCTCTGGTTTTATTTCCAGAAACAATGGTGGCAGTCCATCACTGTTTAGTACACTGATGATTTTAAAGTCAGCATGTGAGAACAACCAGTGCTACATTGACCGCCTGATCACAATCTTCATGAAAGTGCTGACCAAGATGACACATGAACATCTCAAGAGTCAGGAGGCCACTCAGGCCAACAGGACTGCTGCAGCAGCCGCAGCAACAGCAGCAGCTGTGGCAGCGGCAGCAGCAGCAGCTCCAACTGTGCCAGATACAGACAAAGGTATTTTCTTTTTGACTGCTCCCTTACTCTATCTGTCTAACTTGCATGAAAAGGATCCAATATGAATAAATTTAGCTATTGACATGTTTTTAAAAATCTCTCTGTCAGTGGTTTTTAAAATGTCATCTTTAAAATTGACTTCGGCAAACTAGTAACGGTGTTTAGTGTTTCCTTACCGTTTTATGAAGAAAAAAAAAGATTTCATTACTTCATTTTTATGTGAATCACACTATTACATCAAAACTTTTTAATATACAAGTACAGGATTTATTTTTTAACTCGGTGTCCAGTCAGACAATATTTTTCAGATGTCTTATAATTATAAATTTATTTCCTGACCACTACTAGTCTATTTAGACATGTACTTTAAAGAAGTAATGGTGGTCAGGAAATCAATGTATACTTATAAGACATCGGAAAAATATTGTCTGACTGGACACCAAGTTAAAAAATAAAACATGCATTTACTAGTCTATATAGACATGTACTTTAAAAAAAGTAATGAGTGCATGTTTTATACAATTTGTCTACTAAGGTACCTTTATCAACTATCACTATCATTTTATTAGTTTGCTCTCTAGGTGGTTCCAGTGAGTTGTTAATTCTAAGCCTGGACCTGGTGAAGAACAGGGTTGGAGTAATGAGCCAAGAAATGAGAAAGTCTTTTATTGGCAACATTCTTGCTGGCCTGATAGAACGTACTGGAGACTCCAAGGTCATGCGAGCCATCACCAAAATGGTGGAAGATTGGATAAAAAATAAGGTATAGTGTCTGCAGTCCTAAAATCAGTTAATGGCAATTAAAACAATAGGTATATCAGATTTGTAAAATTAGATATAAATAATTTTTACTTCCAACATGTCTTTTTTTTAAATTAAATAATTTAAGGTACATTGAGTCTGGACTTTTTTTTAGACAATTTTATCTCGCATCATCAAATGACTCAATTATAAGGAATCTAAAGATCTCTATTTCTGAAGAGTGTGCAAACCTTATTTTTATATCATTTCGGTTTTTCCAATGCAGACTACGATAGCAATCAATCAATCTCCATCTACAAGAGAAAAGTGTATTCTGTTGTCTAAACTGATGAGCAATATTGAGAGGAGATTTCCAGCTGATATAGAGCTCAACTCACAGTTTTTGGACCTGGTGCTCTTTATTTACAGGTAAGGCACAGGCAGCGTGTTCTTCAGTTTAAAAATATGCATTCAGAAAACAAGCGACGTTTTTTTAATTTGGGGTCGTCCATTAATTACGTCAACAATTTTTCTGCAATTTTTTACCCCCCTCCCGCCCCCTTGTCAACAACTGTCAAATTTTCGATGACCCCCCCTATTTAATTATGTCAACATTTTATACCCCACCTCCAAAAAAAAAAGAATTATAATATAAATAAATTTAGAAATATGTGTTACTTTGTGCTGATGTATTTTTAATAACACAAAATTGTAGGAAAAAAATTAATAACACCTTTAGCTTGTTAATCAAGTTAAAAAGTTTTTACACTTAAATTTTATAATGCAGAATCAATTAAAAGTTTCATCATCATCAATGGCACTACAGCCCATGTAGGGCTCTGGCCTGCTCCACCACATCCTTCCATTCGGGGCGATCCATGGCTTTCTGTCTCCATGCTCGAACCCCCAACTGGTGTAAATCTGTCTCCACATCATCAATCCACCTCATCCTTGGGCGACCGATGAGTCGTCTGCCCCTAGGCTTCTGCCTGTATATGATTTGGCTGCTCTGCATTCTGGCATCCTTTCAACATGACCTGCCCAGCGTATTCTGCCTTTTTTTATCATTGTGACTATGGGTGGTTCAATTAAAAGTTTGTTAAAGACTAAATAAAATTGTTTGTGGTAGTATAAATATGATTATTGTTCTAGCTACTATTAACTTCCCATGGAGTAGCCAGGAGTTGCTCTAATGTAACAATGGACATCATGGACTTCCTTTGGGTAGGGGCACAAACAACCCCCCCCCCCCCCCCCCCCCCTAACACTGTCTACACCCCCACCCCCCGATTTTGTTGGTTTTATTTAAATTGCTATGAACTGTGGCGCCTCCCCCTGAAAAAACCTGAAATGACGCCCATGATGGGCATAGTCTATAATTATAATAGCTGATTTATCATTTTCATGTTTCGGAACTGATATACCTGACAAGTCAACATCATCCTTATCTAGCTATTCTTAGCATTTAAAATCAAAGCATTGTCTATGTGAGCAATAGTTGCCATAAGCTCTCTCGTCTTTCAGTTGGTATAGTTGTTATTGAACATCGATGAATTGGTGTTTTTTTTTAATTGAACACTGTGTACAATGAGGTGTTAATCAATCTAGGAAGCGGATTAAGAGAAAAATGACAGGTGAAGAGATGCCATTTTTTTACTTCTCTTGCACTAACAAAGTGTGCTAACATTCTGACCAGCCATCTGCAGTGCACAGACAGACACACAATACACGTTCTGGAACCGCTCCCCTTCCATATCCGTCATTGTGAAACCTCGTCCACTTTTAAAAAGTCCCTTAAAACCCATCTGTTTAGGTCCGCCTATGACCTGTGATGCACCCTCCTCGCCCTGCCTCATTTTCTGTTCCCGTAGTATAGGCCAAAACGTGCCAAAGTGTCCTCGTTTTATAGCCATTTTAATTTTTTCTATAGGATAGGAGTTACTATCCTAGTGTCTCATTTTTATTTTACTTAGTTTACATGTTTTTAATAATTGTAAAGCGCTTAGAGCTTTCAGGTAAGCGCTATATAAAAAATGCTTAAATAAATAAATAACATAACTCTTGTATTGTTAAAGGCCTTAACACTCATTAAATTGTTTAAAATAATGTAAGAACCAGTCATGTTAATATAGAAAACAAGATTGTTAACGTTAACTAATCTAAACCCCCCTCCCTTCCCCTTGACCTTGTCAACAACTGTCAAACATTTCCAAACACCCCCCCATTTTGTTGATGTAATTAATGGACGCCCCCTTTTAAAACCAGTTGTTATTGCTGAAGAATATAATGTGAAACGAAATTTAAATGCCAACAGTGTAAACATCCACAGAGATAAAGATCTAGAAAGATCTGATCTGACCACAAAGCTGGAAAATGCCTTTCTGGCTGGGCTAAGGTGCAATCAACCACTGATCAGACAAAAGTTTCTTCAGGTTGGTGCTGTGGATATGAAAATAACAAGTATTTAGTTATATAGTTCACAGGAGAATAAAAAATGTCAACTTTCATTAACAACTGTGGTGCTTAAAACAAGGCATTTACACCTCTTTCAATTTTGATGTTTCAATGGTGTTCACATTTTACCAATCAAAAGTTATGTCACGCATCACAAAATTTGAAGCTGCATATACTTTTTCATTTTATTTTAGACCATGGAAAGAAGCATTCCTAGAAAGGTATTTGATCGCCTGCTATATTTGATGTGCTCACAGAACTGGGAGAACATGGGAACTTATTTCTGGATCAAACAGGCCTTAGAGGTAATCTACTAAATCCGCCATACCATTAACAATACTTATTTTTGTTCTGTTACATTATTAAATGGATATTTTTCTAGTTGCTTCAAAGAACAAACTACTGACATTTATATTAAGCCTTGAGTTTACTGGCCTTCTTAAAATTCCTTCAGCTCATCTTGGGAGTGTCATTAGAAACAACTGCCATCCAGAGTTCCTCCCCCATGAACTTGCTTCCCAGTGCTGGCTCAGTTATAACATTAGCTGATTCCTTGGAGAGAGCAGAGTTTGCTGCCTTGATTAAAGTGAAGGATGAACCAATGGATGTTGAGACACTTGACTCAACAAAAGATGAGGTGCATATACCAGGAGTGAATATTCATTATTTTTGTTTTTTTGAGTGGGACAGCCCATAGAAGCCTTAATACCTACAAATATTGAAAAAGGATGTGGTTGGGGTTAAGCCATTTGGGATAAAATAACTGAACACTGTCAAACAATATTAAATCTATTAAATTGAATCTAATCTTGAATACCTCATATTAAACTTGACAATGAAAAAGTTAAGTTTTATTTTTTCATTTAAAATATAAGATTATTATTTATATATTTTTCAACATTAGGAGGACATGGAGCTTGAGCTCACATCAGATGGAAATGAAGAAACTCCAAAAGCACCAAAGAAAGAGACTGGTCAGACCTTGAAGACTTTGCTCAGTAGAGAGGCCAAGTTTCTTGATAGCTGCAGGGAAGTAAAGGTATGTAGAACAAAATGTTCATTTTAATTTTGATTTCCTCAATTATAATGAAGCATTTTTTTTTTGTTTTGAATCTGAAAGTTCACTACACTTAAAATTGGAGTACCTTTTGTTCACATGATAATTTCACTGTTTCTAATTTCTAAAATTCACAAAAGTTTAATTCAATAAATTTAAATACATCAAGATATCAGTGAATCCAAGTCATCTGTTATTTCATCCATTGTTAGACACGAGAATACTTAGTTGCATTATGCCAGCTGGCACACAACTCCACTGACCTTGCCCACACTACTTGGCTGGATCTTTTCCCAAGAATATGGAAAATTCTGACTGATAAACAGCAAGAAGTAAGATGTTAAACATTTTTTAAAAAAATCTTTCATTGTTATTTCATTGATTGATGATTGGATATTTATATAGCGCTGGTATCCATGCTACTTTAGCATGCTCACCGCGCTCTGGTTTTCTTAAATCTATTTAAACAAAAGTTTTAAAATGTTTCTAAAATTATTTTTTAGCATTTTCAATTCCCCTCAAATTTTGGCGCTTTCGCTTCAAAAGAGCGCACTCCGTAAGACTTTTCTGTGTTCATCCATACTAGGAACTCTCAGTAAGCACTGTGTTGAAGACCACAGGCTCTTCAAGGATATTTGTTTATAAATCAGTTCTTTAAGATATTCCGGTGCAGTTATGTTAACTGTTTCATGAAACATGTTAATATAAATGAAACAGACGAGTCAATTTTTTTTGTTTAAAAAAAAAAGCACACACACAAACCATATTTAAACTGTCACCTAGTCGAATACCATCATGTTATAAATATCCATCATCCTACTTTCCCCAACCACCCCAAACAAAGTTAAACCATATTTAAACTGTCACCTAGTCGAATACCATCATGTTATAAATATCCATCATCCTACTTTCCCCAACCACCCCAAACAAAGTTAAACCATATTTAAACTGTCACCTAGTCGAATACCATCATGTTATAAATATCCATCATCCTACTTTCCCCAACCACCCCAAACAAAGTTAAACCATATTTAAACTGTCACCTAGTCGAATACCATCATGATATAAATATCCATCATCCTACTTTCCCCAACCACCCCAAACAAATTTAAACCATATTTAAACTGTCACCTAGTCGAATACCATCATGATATAAATATCCATCATCCTACTTTCCCCAACCACCCCAAACAAATTTAAACCATATTTAAACTGTCACCTAGTCGAATACCATCATGATATAAATATCCATCATCCTACTTTCCCCAACCATCCACACAAAAAAAGTTAATATTTTAAAAAGAAGTACTCTTCTATCTGATGATCATTTTGTAGTGCTTTGTGTGGGGAATATGCCATCAAGGATATTTCTACATTTTGGTTTTTGTTGCCTCACTCTCAGTGCCTCCGTAGGTCATTCCCATGGCCTCAGACTCTATTTAGTTCACTTCCCGTGTGATCTTGGGCCCTACGAAACCCTCTTGCCCATTGTGTTTTCTATGTCAGTATCCTCAAGATGTTTGTGTCTTTTGTGTGTGTCCCATCTACCTCCATTTACTCTTCTTGATGTGATGTTCTGTGGGTCAGTATTGGTCATTTACCACAGTTTTGTGAACCTGTCCATCCATTTATGCTTTTTACCAACATTTCAATTTTTGTGTGTTTTTTTGGGGGGGTTTTTGACTTCCAGTTTTTCAAGCTAAAGCAACCATTGTGACTTACTCAAAAGTAGTTAACCAGTTGACCTCAGTAGCAGTTTTTTAAAGCCCATCCATGAAAAAGACTGTTTTAACTTCTTCTTCTTCTTCTTATATTTGAGGGGCCCACGATCAATTTGTTGATCATTCTGGCTCCTGGTTTTAATTCAGAGTTAGCCTTCTCTTAGATGGGTTGCCGTCCAAGGCTAACGAGTCCCATCCACCCGGGGTGCTTGGGATGGCTTTGATGGGGATTGAACTCCGGACCAACGGCTATTTAGTTTGAGACAGTTCAGACCGCTCGGCCACCCAGCACCTTTTCAGCACACACAAAAAATCTTTTAAGAGCTTTGCATTCTCAATAAGTTAAATTTTTTACATTTATCAGAGATTGAAGAAAGAATTAGTGCCCTTCTTGACCAGTGGATCCCATGTTACACAAAGGGACTGTCACCCCAGTGCTGTACACACTCTTGTAGAGGGCATTGCATTGTGTGTCCCACCAATTAATATCAAGGCCTGTGCTCTCAAGGTAATAAAATGTTCGAGTTTTATTTTAAATAAAATAATCAGTTGTAAAAAAATAGAATTTGAAAATAGTTGAGTTTTAGAAACAAAAATGCAGCCAATTGTTAAATAGCTTATAATTAGTAGTACAAATCCCATATTTGTCTTCAAATTCAAAGTGTTGATTATGAGTGCACCATTCTTCACTATTCTTCAACAAATGTTTCAAGTTTAAAGAAATGTTCTTCTAAATTTGTTATTTTATACATTTTTAGTTTAGTTTTCATTTAGCAATGGTAAATTAAGGTATAATAATAATTTCAACTTTTATTCAATCACCCAGTATTTAGCTCGTACACACAACTTATGGCACAGAAGCTGCTTGCTGTTAGAGCATGCAGTATTTGACAACCCTTCACCTCTCCCTGTCGCTAGGTCTGCAGCAAATGAATATGACTTTGAGCCTCCACCAATTTTCCCTCATCAGGTAAACAAAGAAATAGCGCTTGCCCACAATTATATTTTAACTGTTATATTCTCTGCTGTCTGGTAGGATAGTTGTGCATCAAAAGATTTTAAAAAGTGTTGTTTTTACAGAGCTCTCAGTTTAATTTTAGTTAAGAATACAGAGCTCTCAGTTTAATTCAAGAAATTACACCTCTGGACTACGTCCTTCACTCTTGCCCTCGGCAGTCGCGCAGTGGTGGTGGTATTGCCGTCCTTTACAGGAACTCCCTTAAAAACAGTGTGGCCTTCTCAAAATCGGAGGAGTTTGTTTCATTTGAAATGTGCAAAATTCAACTTAATTACGGTGAACAAGCGATGACGTTTCTGTGCATATACAGGCCACCTCCAAATAAGCAAAATAAGTTGAAGATCTGTCAGTTTACTGTGGAGTTTATGCAACTCCTTGACATGTACGCCACCACCAACAACAATGTCATCATAATCGGCGACATAAACTGCCATTTCGACTCCACCACCGACAGCTACGTGAAGACCCTAAAATCAGCCCTCGACACACGGAATGACTCAGCTTGTCAGTGTCCCGACGCAGAAGCGAGATCACATCCTAGATTGGCTGGTTGTAAGAGAGGACCGGGCAGCTATGATCCAAAACCTCATTATTGAGGACAAACTTATTTCTGATCACTTCCCAGTCACCTTTGACTTGAGGAAGCCAGGACGCCTTCTGCGTTCAGTAACATCCCGTGACCTCCGACAGATAGATCTAGCGGCCTTTAGATGTGATGTTGCAGCCCTTGAGTGCGGTGTAGATGACCCTGCTACAGACTACAACAGTGGCCTCAGAGTCATTTTAGACAAACATGCACCACTGTCCACACGGCGAGTTACGGACCGCCCTTCCGCCCCATGGCTCACGCCCGAAATTAAGGACGCTAAGCAGAAGCAGCGACGTGCAGAACACCAATGGCGGAAGTCGGGCTTGACTGTGCACCGATAAATCTTTGTTGACCACAGGGAGCGAACCAAGAGGTTGGTCCTTGCAGCTAGGACTGAGCATGTTAGTCATCAGATTACAGGCAGCAGCTCAAGCAAGGACTTATTTCGCATTGTGGGTCAGCTGACCGGTAAAAACAAGGCTACATCTCTGCCAAATAACATTGCTGTAGAAGAGCTGCCAGATGCTCTAAATGACTACTTTATTACAAAAGTTAAGAGGATCAGAGCAAAACTTGACAGTTGCATCGATACTGCTCCAGAATTCTCACTCTTCAACGGCTCTTCAATGGGTGAATTTGTTGAGGTCAGTGAATCGAATGTGAGGAAAATCCTCGCTGATACTCCAAGAAAGTCATGTTCGCTTGACCCTCTTCCAGCAGGGCTCTTGTATGAATGTCTGGATGAAATAGTCCCCATCATCAAATATATCATAAATCAGTCCTTAGCTACTGGTATTGTTCCATCATCTTTTAAAGAGGCGATCGTCACTTCACTATTAAAGAAATCAAATCTTGACCCAAATGCGATGGAAAATTATCGCCCCATCTCAAATCTACCCTTTATTTCTAAAATCTTAGAAAAAGGCGTTCTCCGCCAACTCCTGGATCACCTAACTCAGTTTGACTTGTTTGAACCATTCCAGTCAGCATACAGGGCGCATCACTCTACTGAGACAGCCCTGTTGCGCGTCGTAAACGACCTTCTGTCGTCTTGTGATGAGGGCCAGGTATCGATTTTGTCTTTACTCAATTTATCGGCAGCTTTCGATACGCTCGTCCACGGCATACTGCTCCAGCGTCTGCAACAAACGTTCGGTCTCACTGATACCGTCCTGTGTTGGTTCCGATCGTATCTGACTAATCGGGTGCAGTCAGTTATTTCAAACGGCTTGACCTCAAAGAAATCTAATATCGAATTCGGAGTACCCCAGGGCTCGGTCCTAGGCCCGGTGCTTTTCACGATGTCCATTCAGCCCCTGGGTGCAGAGATCAGGCAGTTTGACATGTTGTATCACATGTTCGCGGACGATACACAACTTCATCAATCCGTGACCCCTTCTCAGTTCCCTCAGCTGCTCAGTATGACACAGAAGACAATGGAGGCGGTTAAGCACTGGATGACCATAAACAAGCTCAAATTGAATGATGATAGGGCTGAGCTGCTCCCCATCGCGACTGCTCAGAAGCAAAAATCTGCAAATAGCACGACATCCATTACTCTTTCAGGTGTGCGTATTGAGTTAGCTCAAACAGTGCGGTACCTGGGTGTCTACCTAGATAGAAGACTAACTTTTGAAAGTCATATTAACATGCTATGCAAGGCGATTTTTCTGGAGCTACGCAGGATTAGTCACATCAGGCCCTTCCTAACAATTGATGCAACAAAGAGGCTGATGTCTGCATTTGTGCTATCACGCATGGACTATTGCAATGCTCTCATGGTGGGTGTTCCAGCTACGCTCCTGGATAAAATTCAAATAGCACAGAATAATGCGGCTCGCATTGTTCTCCGCAAAAGCAAGTTCGACCATGCAAAAACACTTCTGAGAGAGTTGCACTGGCTGCCGGTGCGTGCTCGGATAGAGTACAAAATCGCAACTTTGTGCTACCGCTGCTTACATGACCTGGCGCCGTCCTATCTGAAAGAGCTGCCGACGCCTTATGTACCCACTAGAGAGCTCCGCTCATCCGATTGTGGCAAACTCTCGACACCACGTGTTTGCCTTGAGACTTACAGAAAGCGCACTTTCGCATTTGCTGGTCCAACAATTTGGAATGCCCTTCCTGTCGATCTCAGAAACAACCAGACACTGGAGTCCTTTAAAACCAATTTAAAGACACATCTATTTCGCAAACACCTTCTGGGATGATTATCTACCTTATTTTTCAGTTAATGCATAATGGCTGTGTTGCTTATGGTTGAAATGGCTAGAAAGACTTTGACATTGTATGCTTGTAATTAGTTTTTGTAGTGTTGCGTTTGTTTTAAATGTGGTCAATTATAGATTTGTTTTTTGTTGACTTTGTACCGCGCTTCGAGCCTATGGGGATGAAGCGTGTTTTTGAAATGAACTTTATTATTATTATTAATTTTACTGATTTTTTTTAAGTACAATTGATAATAATATTTAACTATTCCCCCAGGAAACACTGGATTGCCTCTGTGAACTGTACGAGCTATTGCAAGAAGAAGACATGTTTGTGGGTGTGTGGCAAAAGAGGGCCAAATATCCAGAGACAAACACTGCACTGGCTTATATGCAGCATGGCTTCTTTGAACAAGCCCAGACCACATTTGAAGGGGTTTGTTATTGAAATGAACATAATACATAATACCGGTACATAATACAAAGGGAAGAGTGATCACATACTTTCATGACTATCACAACTTAGGCAAAGTCATGTCAAAACCAGCTAACACTTTAAGCTGCTGAATGATTCAGATAAACAACTTAAAATGAGGCCTTACATTTTATTTTGCAATTTGAATTTCATGTTGTTCCTCTCTCACTTGTTTGCTGAAGGGATGCCACTCATTCTGATTCAGGTGATGTCCAAAATACGTATGGATCACAACTCGGCACCAACATCTAGAGATGGTTGGCAGGAGCTCCGATTAATTGAAAACAGTTGGATCAAGTGAGTAATTCATTCCCTTATTAGGATTGATACTTTTCTTGATTTGGGAAAGTCTTTCTGGGTTCATGAGACTCGTCAGCTGCAAATTTTGTGACAATATTAATAAATTATTTCAGGTGTGCCAAAGAACTGAACCAGTGGGATAACCTCCTGGAGTATGCCAACTCCCGCGGAAATGTCATTCCTGAACTCATCTTAGACTGTGCCTGGAGAGTTCCTAACTGGCCACTCATGAAGGATGCACTCGGCAGGGTGAGAACTTGCAGACCCTGATTGACATAAACTTCGGGAATGGACTGAAATCATAAAGATGTGAACATGCTTCTCCAGCAAGTCTCGAATAATACAGCCTTCAGAAATGTTTTTCTATAATTCACTTTGTAATTAATTGGAATCAATAAAATGACAGTAAAGCTATACCCGGTACAAAAAAAAAAAAAAAATAGCTCAGTACATAAGAAATTAATTGCTAAACTTTAAAAATGTAACCTCTTTTTTAAAAATATTTAATCAATATTTAATGACGGTAATTACTTTAAAATTAATTGAAATAAAAAAAATGACAGTAAAGCTATACCCGGTAAAAAAAAAAAAAAAAAATAGCTCAGTACATAAGAAATTAATTGCTAAACTTTAAAAATGTAACCTCTTTTTTAAAAATATTTAATCAATATTTAATGACGGTAATTACTTTAAAAAGGATCCTTAAAAAAAAGGCTGTGTTATTAGACACTTGCTGTGAAGTATTTCCAAAGACTAGAAAAATGTTTTAATACATTACCTGTCCTTAAAATATTTAGTTTGAACCTCCTAACCAGGTGGAAGGGAACTTCAAAAGAGAACTGCAGTGGAAGATAAATCTGTACAGGGGTTACCTGGCAATCTGTCACTCTGATGACCATCACCTAAACTCACAACAGGTAAATTTGAACTATTGGTCAATAGATTCTGAAATGTCTTTTATCTTAAAATTTTTTTTTCTTGTTTTGTGTAGCTAATTTTACTTGTAGTGGTGAAATTCTAATAATTTTTATATTTTAATATCTTATAGTAGCATTTTTTGTGTGTGTAGTTGTGACAGTCTCAGTGGACATTAAAAACTTAACCTTTTGCATGATTGCATTGATTTGATGTTTAAATTATATTGTGGTACATGGATTTACTTCAGACTTTCTCAGTATTTATATGTATTTTCCTGTTCAATTAATATTTTACCCCTTTTTATATTAGATTGAGCGCCTTGTTGAGACCTGTGGCAATCAGGTGATTAAGGAGTGGAGACGTTTGCCCAGCATAGTATCTCAGATTCATGTGCAGTATCTACAGGTTGCTAACTCTTAACATTTACCCCAAAAAAATTTAATTTGACTAAAATAATGTAAAATATAGTTTTTAAATAGAAAAAAAAATCATCCTTTATTTCCCCATAAACTAACTAAATGTAAATCAGAATAGGAAAATTAATTAAATTGGTTAAATTTAAGTTAAAAACATCTTCAACTTGCTTATTTGGGAATAGTAATTTTGAGGGCATCTAAATTTTGAGTTCATAAAATGAATAGAGGCGTCATCTAAACTTAAATTTAGGCTGCCCAAATGATCATGGAACTACAGGAGGCTGCTCAAATCAACCAAGGTCTACAACCTACCAATATCACAAGGACATCCAGTGTTCATGACATGAAGGCCATAGTCAAGACATGGAAGTTGGTCACTTTTTTTTTTACTTACTCTTTTTCTAATAATTTATTTAAAATGTGATCATACATTAATTAAAACAAGTCTTTTGAAGTCTCTGATATCTACTATTTGTATTCAATGCATATTTTTATCGAATTTACTAAAATGCATATTTTTTGTTGAATTTACTCCAAAAAAATTAACATTTGAGATAGAAATGCAATTATTTCTTTAAAAAATGTCAATTCAACATTGTTTTTTAACAATGCCAGTAACTTTGAATGTTACTTGTTTCAGAAATCGCCTTCCTATGATATCAGATGACTTGTCCCACTGGAGTGACATATTTACTTGGAGACAGCACCATTATCAGTTCATAATTCAGCATTATGAAAGCCAAGCCCCTGTGGAAAATGTAATTTTGAGTTTTCTCATTTTTGTCATGAGCCCTAGCAGTTTTAAAATCTCTTCTGTACCTGTGAAATGTAAATTAATTGGGTGAGAAGTATTTGATGAGCCAATGTAAGCTCACATCCCATAAAGGGTAACCCTGTTTCTGGTATACGGCATTAGTTGCATGATTTTCTGGCCACGCTTTATCTCTGCTGTTTATAATCGCAATAAAAAGTGTCTGGCTACAATCCGACTTAAAATGGAAAACAATGTATGTATATTCTAATGACAATACTAGTTGCAGTACACTTAAACCACTGAGTACAACTATAAAGTAATAATTATGGAGTGCCAGCAGCGTAATTTTCCACGTTTTATCGGGTTTTTTTTTTTTTTTTGTTTTTTTTTTTTTTTTTTTTTTTTAAATTTTAGTATTTTGTGCGCCTGTAAACTTAAGTGCAACATTTTCTGTAACTGGGGTCCTGAAAAATTAATTTAAAAAAAAAATAAAGAAAATTTAACATGAAATTTATATTTTAGTATAATTTCATGACATGAGTTCTTGACCTTGTTCTCTAGAATACCAACTCCATGTTGGGAGTGCATGCCACAGCTCAGTCCATTATTCATTTTGGCAAGATTGCTAGGAAACATGGACTCACAGGGGTCAGCTTGGACACTCTGAGCAGGTAACAAACATAAGCACTTACTTAGCAACAGAGATATGTCATACCAACATTGTTTCTAATGCCACTGTCATGAAAACTGTTTACCTGAGTCGATGATGTATTGTTGGGCTTACATCCTACCGGAGTAGATGATACTTTGTTGGGCTTACATTCTACCGGGTAGATGATATATTGGGCTTACATTCTACCGGGTAGATGATATATTGGGCTTACATCCTACTGGGGTAGATGATATATTGGGCTTACATCCTACTGGGGTAGATGATATATTGGGCTTACATCCTACCTGAGTAGATGATATATTGTTGGGCTTACATCCTACTGGGGTAGATGATATATTGGGCTTAAATTCTATCAGGGTAGATGATATATTGTTGGGCTTACATCCTACTGGGGTAGATGATATATTGGGCTTACATCCTACTGGGGTAGATGATATATTGGGCTTACATCCTACTGGGGTAGATGATATATTGGGCTTACATCCTACCTGAGTAGATGATATATTGTTGGGCTTACATCCTACTGGGGTAGATGATATATTGGGCTTACATCCTACCTGAGTAGATGATATATTGTTGGGCTTACATCCTACTGGGGTAGATGATATATTGGGCTTACATCCTACTGGGTGTAGATATATTGGGCTTACATCCTACTGGGTAGATGATATATTGGGCTTACATCCTACTGGGGTAGATGATATATTGGGCTTACATCCTACTGGGGTAGATGATATATTGGGCTTACATCCTATCTGGGTTGATGCTATATTTTTGAGCTTACATCCTACCTGGGTAGATGATACATTGTTGGGCTTACATCCTACCTGGGTAGATGATATATTTTTGGGCTTACATCCTACCTGGGTAGATGATATATTGGGCTTAAATTCTACCTGGTTAGATGATATATTGTTGGGCTTACATCCTATCTGGGTTGATGCTATATTTTTGAGCTTACATCCTACCTGGGTAGATGATACATTGTTGGGCTTACATCCTACCTGGGTAGATGATATATTGTTGGGCTTACATCCTACTGGGGTAGATGATATATTGGGCTTAAATTCTACCTGGGGTAGATGATATATTGTTGGGCTTACATCCTACCTGGGTAGATGATACATTGTTGGGCTTACATCCTACCTGAGTGGATGATATATTGTTGGGCTTACATCCTACTGGGGTAGATGATATATTGGGCTTAAATTCTACCTGGGTAGATGATTTTGTGCTTTCATCCTACCTGGGTAGATGATATATTGTTGGGCTTACATCCTACCTGGGTAGATGATATATTGTTGGGCTTACATCCTAGTGGGGTAGATGATATATTGGGCTTAAATTCTTCCTGGGGTAGATGATATATTGTTGGGCTTACATCCTACCTGGGTAGATGATACATTGTTGGGCTTACATCCTACCTGAGTCGATGATATATTGTTGGGCTTACATCCTACTGGGGTAGATGATATATTGGGCTTAAATTCTACCTGGGTAGATGATGTATTGTTGGGCTTACATCTTACCTGGGTAGATGATATATTGTTGGGCTTACATCCTACCTGGGTAGATGATATATTGGGCTTAAATTCTACCTGGGTAGATGATGTATTGTTGGGCTTACATCTTACCTGGGTAGATGATACATTGTTGGGCTTACATCCTACCTGGGTAGATGATACATTGTTGGGCTTACATCATACCTGGTTAGATGATATATTGTTGGGCTTACATCCTACCTGGGTAGATGATATATTGTTGGGCTTACATCCTACCTTGGTAGATGATATATTGTTGGGCTTACATCCTACCTGGGTAGATGATATATTGTTGGGCTTACATCTTCCCCTTCCATCATGTGTTCACCAGGATACACAATATACCCAGTGTCCCTGTAGTGGACTGCTTCCAGAAGGTCAGGCAACAAGTCAAGTGTTACATGCACATGGGAGGATCTCTCAACAAGAGTGAGTTCACTGAGGTAAGCTTGTTGCTTTAGAGTTGCCGTTCTACTAGGAATCAGTTAATGTTTTGTCATCCTCATCAGTGGTGCTACAGCCCATGTAAGACCCTGGCCTGCTCCACCACATCCTTCCAGTTGGATCTGTCCATGGCTTTCCGCCCCCATGCGCGAACGCCCAACTGTTGTAAATCCTTCTCTACATCGTCGATTCATCTCAGTCTTGGACGACCGGTGAGCCATTTTCCCCTAGACTTCTGCCTGTATATCACCTTTGATGCTTACAATCAGGCATCCTTTCAGTATGTCCTGCCCAGCAAAGTCTGCCCTTTTCTAATGTTGTGACTATGGGTGGGTCTTTGTACAATTGATATAGCTCTTGGTTTGTGCGGTTTCTCCAGACATCATTGTCTATCACTGAATCAATTTTCCTGAGGATTTTCCTCTCCCATGTTTTGAGCAGGTTCTTTTCCGGTAAGGGACCAATTCTCACTAGCTTAAGTTACTACTGGTCTTATGATAGTGTGTATATTGTCTTCTTAGTTCCCCTTAAGAGATTTTTGCTTCCCAGCAGCTTTTGTAGGCTGAAATGGGAAGAGTTGCCTGAGCTTATCCTTTCTTTCACCTCCGTCATTATTTCATTGTGCTAGTTTATAGTCGCCCCTAGATATTTGAATGTAGCCTCTCTCTCAAATTTTTTGGTTGTTTATATTGATGTTGTCATCAGCGTGGTTGTTTCAACACATTATGACTGAGGCATTTTCAAGTTCCAGTTAATGTTTTAAAAAATTGCAATTTTTTTTTACTGAGGTATTTCTGCACAGTGATGATGTTACTAGATCAGGTATGTTTTTTCAAAAATGTAAATTATCTTAGTATGCAATATTCCGTCAGTGTTATGTAGCCTCTTCAGAGCAAGTTTGTTTATTACATTAATTATCCCGAAATTTATAATTCAGTTTCCTGCATAATTATTAATTTTTACAGGGGCTAGATGTCATTGAAGTGACAAACCTGAAATTCTTCACCAAAGAAATGATGGCAGAGTTGTATGCTATGAAAGGCTACTTTCTTCAGCATCTCAATCGCTCAGATGAAGCAAATAAAGTTTTTGCTGCAGCTGTACAGTTACATGACTGCCTGGTGAATGCATGGGCTCTGTGGGGTGAATATCTGGAGGCCATGTTTACAAGAGACAGGTAAAAATTGGGATTTAATGAAACAAAAGAAAAATCATGACACTTAAGGGCAGGTTAAACCTATAAAATCTTAATTTTTAGGTAAAAAATTTAATATTAGAAAACCATTTATCTAAGAAGTATATTCACTTCCAAACTATCTTTTTATTTTTTAAATAAAAGCAATATAAGTATCTATATATATAATTCATATATAATATAAATAATATATAAATAGCAAAGGTCAAACACCGCCACCACCACACAGGCTATATATAGATACGCCAGAGTGTGGTTAAATAATCAATTCACTAGCGCGCAAAATATAATTCCCGATAATTACTCTAAATATTTATATTTTTTTAATAATGCAACTGCGTTTGGTGTGTAATATTTTATTTTCGGAAATGAAATCGTCTCAATTTAAGTATTGTGTCAAAAGTATTCAGTTTAAAAGGGGTTGGGACATGAAAATATTAATATAGTTCATGAGCAATTCTGCGATGTATGCTACATCGCGGGTCGACTATTTTAATTTTTTTAAAGTTGGCAAGGTATAAACAAAATTATCTAATTAATTATGCAAAATTTTTAAATGCTTATAACTTTTTTTCTTATTATCCGATTTAAATAATTTTTTCAACCATATTAATGAAATTCAACCATATGCTTTTTTGATGTAAAGGGATCAGGGAAAAAACTAATATTAAATATAATTTCATTGGTTGCTAGAACTGGATATCCCTTGCCATAAGAGATTTCAGCCAATCACAGCGTTTCTCTTAAAAACCCTTCGGCCTTCATTTGTATACAAAAAAATTATCAGACTGAGCGTCACACTGGGAAATTGATTCTGAACTGTGTTGGATTGTCTGTTTTAAATGGACCTTCTAATTTAATTAATATTTAAATTTAAATAAACTTAGAGTAACTATGGATAAAGTTAAAGTAAAAAAGAATGGGAATAAATAACGCACTAAAAAGCGTATATTTTATGGAAATAGATATACCGTTAAAAAAGATAAGCTTAGTCTTAGTGACTGTGAACCTCAAAATCAAGGAAAACTCAGTACCCACATCTTCCTTTTAAAAACTTAATGAATCTTTAAATGTTTCTAGTCCTAAATTACCTGAAATGAGTGGTTATTGTTTAGTGGTTGTGGGATTATTTCATTAGTCCAGTCATTTTCATGTTTATTCTGTGAGCAGTTTGCAATAGATGGGACAAATTATACTGTTAGAGAAGTGCTAAACTGTTAGAGAAGTGCTAAATGGGCTGATTAGTACTTTGTATTTCAAATGTATTAAATTTAGGCATGAAATAGAATTTAAGACATGCACCGAGAATGTCAACCTGCGATTGCAGTTAGCGATGAACAGCATTGGCTGTCATCAAGAAAAAACTAAAAGATTTCTTGGTAATATGGACATGCCTCCTCCTGTAACTGCTCCTATGGTTACTAAATACAAGGAGAGGATTCATATTGCTACTAATGAAGTAGCAAAACAGTGCATGTCTCAGGCTGCATCAGAATTAAAAGAAGCCCAGGTTCCAAATGTTTTGGTTTCCTGTGACGGGACCTGGCAGCGATGTGGCTTTGTTTCGAAGAACGGAGTAGCCACTGTGTTATCAGTAAATGCTAATAAAGGGCCCTCTAAATTAGTTGATACTCATGTCAGTAGCAACTACTGTGATAAATGTGCTAAGGCCAAGAAGAGATTTCCTGTAATTTCTAAATACTAAATATCAGGAGTGGTTTAAAAACCATATGGATGCCGGTGAATGCCAGTCAAATCACCAAGGTACATCTGGTCAGATGGAACCGAAAGGCATTTTAAAAATCTTTCGCCGTTCAAATGAAAAGTATAACATCACTTATACTGGCTATTTAGGGAATGGTGATTCTAAGAGTTTTAAAACTGTAGCTGAAGCTAATCCTCCAGTTTATGAAGGAGTATCTATTTCAAAATTTATTAGAATGTTGCGGTTTTGTTCAGAAGCGAATGGGGAAACGCTTGCTGGATAAAGTAAATGAATATAAAGGGATAACATGTGGAGGGTGGTAGAAAATTTAAAGGAATAGGTGGGGCAGGCAGATGAACTAAATCTGCTATAAAGTGCATTCAGGGACATTATGGCACAGCGATTAGAAAAAATTCAAGAGACATGGGTCAAATGAAAAAAAGTATTTGGGCAATATTTCACTACCGTGAGGGTAAGTAAGCATAGCGATTGCGGTAGTTGGTGTCCCAAAGATAATAACTAGAATATTTCTTTTGGTTTTCATTTTGTCAATAGTTAAAGAATTGTTTTTAAAATTTAGGTTGATAGACCATGGAGAAGGTGCTACAATTTGCTACCTCCATGCTTGCCGATCTTCTATTGAAGGCAGAACTAGGAAGTATCTTGCCAAGGCTATCTGGCTCTTGACGTACGATGATGAGAACCTTACCATTGCCACCACCCTGGATAAACACCACCAGGGCATCCTTGCCATTCATTGGCTACCTTGGTTAGTTTAATTTGTAGGACACAGACGTCATGAATAATTACTAAATGTTGTTTTTAAAATCTTAAATTTTTTTAATTCACATATTTGTGTTATAGAAGAGGATTCCTGTTACCAGTTTCATAAAGAGATGACTTTTTCTATTGTTTTTTACCAGGATTCCTCAACTGTTGACTTGTTTAGTGAGGAAGGAAGGCAAGCTGATAATGAATCTCCTAACCACAGTTGGACGCATGTATCCACAGGCTGTTTACTTCCCCATCAGGACTTTGTACTTCACTCTCAAACTGGAACAGAGGGAGCGACGTTAGTACATTTTAAAAGATCTTATAATTTTTAATCGTTATATTTTTTTCTAAATGAATACTGATTGATAATTTTATTGAATAATTGTTACATATATTTCCTTATCTAAATATTTGAAGAATTGCTTCCAAAATTAATCACCTGTTACTGTTTAAAAATAAAAATGGACCAGACTGATAGATATTTTATTTCTTTAGATAAAAAGGCTGGAATCGATCCTAACAGACCTGCCACTGCACCAAACACCACCGCTGCTCCAGGTGGTACTGCTAGCACAACAGCCACAGCACCCACTGTGACAACCACAACTACCATGGCAGCAGCAGCTACTCCCTCTATCCTCACTCCTAGCGCTGCTGCAACTGAAGGCTTGCTCGGGGTAACAACTGTAACAGGTGAGAAGTCAGTTGAAAGAGAGCCATAGAGTTTGCAACATATATTTCTTATTTGTATGTGGCTGGATCTTTTATTTGGCATGACATAATCTCTTTGTATTAGTTATTAACTGAATGTTATTTATACTTATTATAAATTTAGCGTTTAATTGAAACTTTATTTTAAAGATACAAATTGATATTATTTTGCTAAACAATGAAACCTCTCAAACATGATTATATATGGTGAACAAAAGTGACTAGAATTTTATAATTTTAATTTCAGCTAATTTAGAAGCTATTTAGTAACAAAGAGACTTTGAGGCAGTAATAAATGTTTTTAAAATATTGAAATATTCTGTCATCTGTTAAGATTTCTTGGCAAGTGTGACAGCTAACAATGCAGCACAAACCCCAACCAGTGTTGCATCAACTCAGGCCAAGTCAGATGCTCCAGGCAGTAATCCAGAGTCTAATCCTATCAAGGCACCCGAGTCCATGTGGAGGTGTTCAAAGATAATAGCCATTCAACGAGAGGCCCACCCAACCGTCCTCACCACTCTGGAAGGCATTATTGAGCAGGTTCTTAGTTTGTTCATTAAGACTACTTTAGTTTAAATTAAGGAGCTGTAAAGTTTATGTGAGAATTTACTTATTCTGGTCTAATAAATGCTCATTAGAAATACCAAAGTATGTAGTGCAAGGGAAATCATTTCAAAAAGGAAAATTAGATCAATACAAATATTAAAATAATTGTTTTGTTTGTTGAATGCATGAACCTTTTTCCAAAGTTTTCCTTTAATGTTCTTGGAGCTTCCTTCAATAAAGGTCCAAGTAGCTACCGTGTTAAATAAAAGCCATCAGCCGGACCAACTAATATCCTTAATTCTATCTAGCATCTAGAGATAGGGTTCCTCCAGTAAAAACTAGCAATCTCACTTTAAGCAATTGTGATGGTGTCTCTACTCTGAGGAAGAACTTTTGACGAGAAGTACCTCTTTTAGGCCTTATATATTTTATATATATTGATTACATTTTTTTAAAGAACTTTCATTTTAACATATATATATTTTAACATTTACATTAAGATGATCTGGTATTATTATTTCAAACCTTGCAGATGGTCTGGTTCAGAGAAAACTGGTATGAAGAGGTCTTGCGTCAGCTTAGGCAAGGCTTAGAGAAATGTTATGGGGTTGCTTTTGAAAACAGGGCATCAGGTAGGGAAAAAAGAGCTTATGAAATCTTAGTGGTTGCTACTAATGCACTCAAAAAATGTCAGGTTTTTGTGTGCTCCATTTCACTATTATAACCATCATAGTGTAATTAGTTTTATAATATTAACCATCTGTTTTATTCAAGTGATCTTAATTCACTTCACTGTTAAGTTTTTTAAGCTGTAGATCTTATGAACTGTCTGAATATTGATCTTTTTCATTGGGTTTTTAACTTTGTTGAAAGGGTAGGTATATTTGAGAAATGTTTTTTTTTTTAAAACTATAGAGTAAAATCCTTACAAGATAGCCATTTTTGTTGATAAATAATTTCATGAACAATGTCTCTTCCAGTCACTGAGGCAACCATAACTCCACACACCTTGAACTTTGTCAAAAAACTAGTCAGCACATTTGGTGTCGGTGTTGAGAATGTGTCCAACACACCGTCTACATTTAGTGGTGCAGCTTCAGAGTCCCTGGCTCGTCGGGCACAGGCTACAGCCCAAGATCCTGTGTTTCAAAAGATGAAGAGTCAGTTCACCACAGATTTTGACTTCAGGTTGAACATTTTATCACCTGTGACACCATAGACTGATTGCTAAATTTATACTTCCTTGAAAATGCTTTTTTTGTGAATCTACTTTTAAATCCAAACTAATTAATAAACTTGTCTCATGTTTTGGTCAATATAACTAATACAAGAAGCTAAAACAAAAAAGTCAATAGCAGGTTGAGTCATAAGATATGTTGTTTGAAACTTTGTAATTAATGTAATTAACCTAATTATAATTTAAAAAATAGCAAAACACGATCAATAATGGAAAATAAGAATATTATGTTGAGGGCAATTATTTGATTGTCAAACTTGAAATTATTTTTAACTTTCTCTTATTGCTTGTGGTAATAGTATCTTTTTATATTATAGAAATTCACAAGGAAAATAATCCACAAAACAATACACTTATTATATTGGTTAGAATAGCCAAGATGAAATAAATAAAAGTCGTAGGTTATGTATTTTTAATTTGTTTTTCTTATATTTAAGTGTGCCTGGTTCAACCAAATTACATAATCTAATCAACAAATTGAAGAAATGGATCAAAATTTTGGAAGCTAAAACAAAGTTATTCCCCAAGTAAGTTCTCAGATATTTAATCTTTCATAAATTTATTCTAAGAAAATGGCCAAGATGTGTGAATTTTTATTGCTCAGCATCATATTTGGTAATACCTTGAACAATAGCAAATATAGCTTTTCATTTTTTTTTTCTACCTGCAGATCTTTCCTGATAGAAGAGAAATGCAGTGTTCTCAGTAACTTTACAGCCAACACAGCAGAGATTGAAATGCCTGGAGAATTTCTATTGCCAAAAGTGACTATTTCATTAGATACTACTGTTTTATTTGATATGTACCAGTATTTCTCCAGTTTGTAACCTGCCAATTCAAACTTTAAAAAAGTTTTATTTTTGAATTTTTTGCTTTAAAAAATAAATTAAAATCTGCTGATCTTTCTAAATGACACTATTTCATTCTCAGCACAACCATTACTATGTAAGAATTGCTCGCTTCATGCCCAGAGTTGAGATAGTTCAAAAGCACAACACAGCTGCAAGGAGACTCTTCATTCGTGGACAAAATGGAAAGGTTTGCACATACTTGAAGATTACCACATAGTCTTAAACAAAGGAAAACTACAAAGAAACAAAAATGCCTTTCAGGTTGAAACCAACTCTGGTATAAACATATAAAAGACATTGCACAAAATTGCTTTCTCTTGATAATGTTCTGTTTGTTTTATATAAATTAAATTGAAATCATTTATTTATTTAATGACATATTTTAAGGAAATAATGTTATCTTTATCTTTTGAAAGGAATATCCTTATCTTATTGTGAATGATGGCTGCTTGATAGAATCCCGTAGAGAGGAAAGGACACTGCAACTCTTGAGGATGCTCAATCAGTTTCTTACCAAACAGAAGGTAAGTTGACTGTATTCTAATAGCCTCTAAATCTAATTGAAGTTGATAGTATGAGATTATTGTGAAATCTTCCTTTTACAGATAGGAAACACCATATTTACACCATCAGTTCACTTTTTAAAATTATTTGCTACAGGAAACATGTCGCAGGCTTTTGTACTTCACAGTGCCTCGAGTTTTGTCCATTTCTCCATCTATTCGGCTCATAGAGGATAACCCAGCATCAGTATCTCTCCTGGATATTTACAAACAGGTAAATGGTTAAGTCTTCATACAGATTTTTGAGATAATCTATTTGTAAAGTTGTACAGCAGTGAAGCTGTTTGTATATATTAATTCTAATATATTCTAATATATATTAATTCTAAAACATTCTCCTAAACTCAGCGTACCAGCAAACGTGGAATTGAACATGATTCACCAATTGCACGTTACTATGAGAGACTTGCTACGGTCCAGGCACGTGGCTCACAGGCATCCCATCAGGTCCTGCGAGACATTTTAAAAGAGGTCCAGACCAACATGGTGCCACGAGGGTTACTTAAAGAATGGGCTCTCAACACATTCCTTGATGCAACAGATTACTGGACTTTCCGCAAAAGTGTGAGTGATTAATTCAGATCTCAACCAAGAATCATGTGTTCTTTAAATTGTAGGGTAATGATAAGGCATGGGAAATTAACATGCTGAATGCTAATATTACCTTTTGACTTTTTTTTTGGGCTTGCCAAAAAAAAATTAAACGACTTTCTTTTTAGGGTAATTAAATGTTTGAAAGTAGGGCAAGATTTAAATTAGGTTTTAATGTAAGAAAAATCTCATAACCGACTTTATTTACTGAAGCTGTTAAATAAAAAATTATGTCTCAAATTTCCTTTTTTTAATTCCTGATTTAAAAGCTTTCACTTTTTACATTGTAATTACATATCAATGCTTTTCTTTATAGGCATGTGCTGAAACTCCTTGAATGTGTACTTGGGGTTGTCAACAGCTGCTGTCACATGTTGATAATGAGACACATTGAGAGAGACACATGTCCATAGAAGTGAAAAGGATTATATATTTGGTAGTTTTTATTCAAAATGGGTCTCTCCACGAAGGAAAAAGTATTCATATTTTAGCAATATTTTTGCTCATAGTAAACGTAAAGGTAGACCTGGTTTTTAAAAACAGGTGGAAGCGCAATTCCGAGAGAGATTGAAAAAAACAAACTACCAAGTAACTTGGTTCTGGAAAGGTACTTGGTCATCAGAAGGGAAAGTCTGGTCTCGAATGTGACTTATTTCAGAGGACCCCTCATTCCTATAAAAACCTTGAATCTCAAACATCAGCTATGTTCTTAAACAATTAAACAGGCGTATTGCTGACATTCATTTTGAAGGATGTTCCTTGTAGAATTCATAGATGTGTACACAGTACCTTCTGGAGAACACAGGTGTGATTCCCATAATTGAACACTTACTGGTCGATCAGACTTCCTCTTTCATTAATGGACAAAATACACTTCCTTATCGAAAAAATATTGTAACAATAGAAAGCAAAACTGTGTTACTTGGTGCCGTCTTACTAAATCTCTCTTGAAATTGTTCTGCCTCCTATATTCAAAACACGATCCCCCTTCACAATCACTTAATCACTTAGGCACAAGTGAAAATGGTTGTCTAATATGAATATTTTTCCCTTTGTAGAGAGACCCATTTCCAACAACTCCCCAACACATTTCTTGACACCTCGGGGGAACAAGTGGCAGGAGCTATGCACGAGTACACATTTAAGATGCAGAAGTTTCAGTACTTGTGGCACAGACTGTATTTTAATAGTTATTTGTTTATCCATATAAATGAGAAATATGAAGATTTACCAGAGCATTTTCAGCTATAAAATTGTATATATAACAGTTGACCATCCAGCTGGCTCTAATGGGCTTGGCAGAGTTTGTCTTCCACCTGACACGGATGAACCCTGATCAAATGTACCTGCATCAAGACTGTGGATATCTCAGCATTTCTTTCTTCAAGTTTGATGTAGATGATCAAACAGGTACTTAAGGCAATTAGAATAAAACTTAAAATAGAGTTTATAATGAGTGAAATAACTAATTTGTTGTACACCATAACAAATCCAAACCATTTCAACAAATAATAAATGCTACCCTGACAACACAGAATGTTCTTTCTCAAGAAGTATGTTAGATAAACAAAAATTTCAAGTATGCTTATAGTTTAAAGGAATCAACTATTTTCTTCAATATGGTTTACATTTTTTCTAAGTTTTTGTAGAAAAGATTTCTGCTTCATCAGCTAATAATTTGTACAAATATTTCTATTGTCCAACAATCTTAGGTGATCTTGATGCTAATCGACCAGTCCCATTCCGTCTGACACCTAACATAGCAGAGTTCTTGACCTTCACTGGTGTTTCCGGCGCACTTACTGCAGCCATGGTTGCCTCTGCCCGATGCCTTGTCCAACCACAGTACAAGCTTCCATCTTTCTTAAGAACAATTCTACGTGATGAATACATTACATGGCATAAAAAAGTAAATTTAAAAAAAAAAATAATTTTCTTTCTAAATTGCTGTACTAATTTTATTTATACTATTAATGTATAGGTCTTCTTTTTAAAAATAGTTCTTCCTTTGTAATGACTGAGTACATATTTAAAAAAATCAATTCAAAATGTAATTTCTTTTAAAGTTATACCAGTACTCTCTGTAATAATTATAGTCAACATTATAATTACAAAGTAATGTGTACTTTAATAAAAAATTAATTTTAGAAAATGGAAGAAGCCAATCCTTTGGAGGAACCAGCTGACATGGAAGGAGAGCAGCTAGTCAATTTGGTCAATAAAGCTGTTGCTGCTATTACTACCAGGGTTCAGAGTAAGTTCAATTAAACATACTAGGAGATATCTAAATGTTAATACTCAGCTACCTCTTTGCTGGCATCCCCACAAACAAAGATGTTTTAACTTTTCCAGCTGTTGGAAATTTATAGTATCAGCTTTAAAAATTAGTTCATTACTTATTTGTAATGAAATAGTTGTGTCCCTGTAAAATGTTAACATGGCAGCTATTTTTATAATTTATATATATTTATGTAGAGCAGATGTTTTAAAGTTTTTAATGAAGATGTTTCTTACTCACAAAAATGTAATATAACTTATAAGTTGGAATATAAGACTTATCTTCAAATGAAGTAAAAACTGAAAATTTAATAAAATGACTTTCACAACCTTTTACAGAAACTCAAAAAATTAGTCATTTCCAGAGGTTTTAATTTTATATTAAATATTCTTCTACTTTAGATTTGGCTTCCTTTGAGGGCGCTGAAAGCAGAGTAAACACATTAGTGACTGCAGCAACAAATACAGATAACTTGTGTCGTATGGACCCTGCCTGGCACCCATGGCTTTAAGCAACATTATCGCACAGCTTTGTTTTATGAATAAAGTACTGAGAAGACTTTCCAGTTTTTATAAGTAACCTTTTAAATGTAGGATGCTAGTATATTTGTAATTGGATGTAATCATTGTGAGTAATTTGTCAATACAGTTTTAAAGTATATTAAACTGGAAATTCTTGGCAGCACCATTGTATTAGTTATTAATTTTCATTAAAGTGTGTTTTCATTCATTTTTAAAAAAAAGTTTTGTAAATGAGCATGTTTTGAATTATATTTCTTCATAATTTTTGCAAAGTATTGGTGAAATTTTTTTCCCCGTTAACTTATCATCCTAAACACCATATACCGTATTTTAAAAATACTTTTCAGCTTTCATAAATAATCATTTCACTAAATTAAATTTCCATCCCCTAAATCATTCTTCAAATGAAGAGAATTTAAAGAAATTATTGAATCTCAATAGCCATAACTTAAAATGTAATTTTTGATTTATTAATTTAATTTTCATAATTTGGCATTTATTAGATATTTAATTATATAATTGGTTGTTTTGCTTAATTTTTTCAAGTTGTAACATGTAGGTCTATTTGCTTAAGTAAGACAGATATTGAAAATGATGTAAAATTTTCATGTAAGTTTATATTTTAACATTTTTTAAAAATAAGTCCAATTATTGTTTCATGAATATGTTATTAAAATGTAATGTATATTTATTTATTTAGGCATCTTTATATAGCGCTTATCATAAAGCTCTAAGCGCTTTACAATTATTAAAACATGTAAACTAAGTAAATACAAATGAGACACTAGGATAGTAACTACTATTCTATAGAAACAATGAAAATGGCTATAAAAAGAGGACACTTTGACACTTCAGGATTAAACCGAAACAGAAAATTAGGTAGGGCAAGGAGGGTGCATCACAGGTCATAGGCGGACCTAAACAGATGAGTTTTAAGGGACTTTTTGAAAATGGACGAGGTTTCACTATGACGTATATGGAAGGGGAGCTGGTTCCAGAACGTGGGCCCATGGAAGCAGAAGGAGCGTTCACCGATGGTCTTAGTTTTAGTTCTTGGGATTGAGAGGGTTCTACTGTCAATGGAAGAACGTAGTTGTCTTGTGGGGATGTAAGGAAGCAACAGTTCAGAGAGATAGACAGGAAAGTGAGGGTCAGTGAACGAGTTGAAGCAAAGATTGGAAGACTTGTATTTGATGCGAGAGGATATTGGAAGCCAGTGGAGTTGCCGCATGTGTGGTTGAATGTGGTCATGTTTCTTTAATTTAAAAATGAGTCTGCATGCTGAGTTCTGTGCCTTCTGAAGTTTTTCTATGTGGTGTTGAGGAATGCCTGAGAGAAGAATGTTACAGTAGTCAAATTTTGAAAGAATGAGTGAAGAGACGAGAGTTTTTGTGGCATCAAAGGAGAGGAGGTGTCTAATGGTGCTGATTTTTCTAATTTCGTTATATGCTGATCTGCATATATTCGTGACATGTTTGTCCATGGAGAGGGTGTCCGTAAGCGTGACTCCAAGGTTTCTGGCAGAGGGAGAGAGTGTGATGTCAGAGTTGCCAATAGATATAGAAGAAGGAGCGAATGGAGGGAGAGGTTTGTTTTGAGAGTGGATGAGAAGGATTTCCGTTTTATCATCATTTAGCTTCAGTTTGTTGCAAGTCATCCAACGCTTTACATCGTCCACGCACTCCTGTATGCGAAGGATTGTGGCATCAAGTTGATCAGGAAAGCAAGAGTCACTGATTTGAGTGTCATCTGCAAAGGATTGACTGGAAACTGAGTGGTGGCTAATGAGAGATGATAGAGGTTTAGTGTAGAGGATGAAAAGGACCGGCCCAAGGACCGATCCTTGAGGAACTCCAATAGACAGGGCTGAAGGTTTGGAAGAGCGGTTGGAAATAGAGACTTTTTGAGTTCTGTCAGAAAGATATGATTGAAACCAGCTTAAAGCTGAGCCAGTAAGTCCGAAAGAAAGATGAAGGCGGTCAAGAAGAATCTGGTGGTCAATGGTATCAAATGCAGCAGAGAGATCTAACAGAGTGAGAATAGAGAGTTTGCCATCGTCCATCGCGCGCAGGAGGTCACTCATGACTCGGACCAGAGCTGTTTCTGTGCTATGACCAAGTCGGTAGGCGGACTGAGAGGAAGGATAGAGATTGCGAGAATGAAGATAGCCAGAGAGCTATCAGTTCTGTTGTCAAGGAATGCTTTTGTCATCTGCGTCCTCAACTCAATAGCAGAACAGTTAATGCTGTAGCCGTAACTCTTATCATTTCAATATTATATTAATGTAACAGTTGTTTGTGGGGTTTGTCTCGGAGCAAAATTCAAAGACTCCAGAAGATACAAAATACTGCAGCACGCATTGTATCGCGGATAAGGAAATCTGACCACATCATCTCAGCTCTAAGAGATCTCCATTGGGTTCCTGTGAGTAACGCATTAACTACAAAATTATGTTCATGGCGTACAGCTGCATAGAAGGCTCTGCACCGACATATGTTAGAGAAGAACTGATGTATAAACATGTATCCTTTAAGAGCCCGTGGTCTTCAACACAGTACTTACTGAGAGTTCAAAGTGTGGATGAACACAGAAAAAGTCTGGCGGAGGGCGCATTTCTGAAGTGATAGCGCCAAAATTATGGAACATGTTGCCTCCTTTTATGAGGTGATTTGAAAATGATAATAAAATAATTAAAGAAACATTTTAAATTTTTTTTTTAGTTTAAATACATTTAAGAAAACGGGAACACAGTGAGCATTGATACAAGCGCTATAAATGTNGCACCGCTGCATGGTCAGAGGAGAGCATATGACTCACAGTACAGCTGTCCACCAAGTTGTCGTCATCACGGTACACCACCCAGTCGATGATGTGGCCGCTGCGATAGTAGGTGGGCTGCTTAATGCCCTGGACAAGACTAAACCTTGTGAGGATGTCTAGTACCTTGCTAGTAAAGGGATCAGTAGGGACGTCATAGTGAACGTTAAGGTCGCCCACGATCACACTTGTTCCACGGAGCAGGTTGCAGTAGTCAAGTAGGTCAGGGAGCTCAGAGAGGAAGGTGGAGTTTAGGAGCTTGTTCTTCTTACTGGGCGGAGTGCAGTACAAGCATAACATGTTGACAGTGTGGGGCGTGTTGAGGGTGAACTGAACAAGTTCTAGAGAGGTGTGCTGGAATGGGAATGTGGAGGTGAAAGTCACTGGGAGGTGGCTACGATAAATGACAGCGAGGCCGCCACCTCTCGTAGCACGCGGAAAGGACTTAATATCGAAACCCGGTGGCGTGAGGTCAGCACACTTGGCATCATCCCCTGTTGACCTCAACCAAGTCTCCGACGTCCGGAGTCAAGTGGGACCCATGGTACGCGCTTTGGACGAACAGGAAGGCGTTCAAACACATCTGTCACCACATGGATATGCATCGATTGCTGCGTCTCAAAAGACCAATTTACTTTCATTGTATCTTTGAGGGCAAACTGGGGAGAAGTGGGTTGATGCATATGGTCAGGTGTTGAGGTGGAAGGAGCTGAGTGACGAGATCTCATCTTCCTTTTTCCCCCGCGAAAACCTCTAGCAGTTTTCTTTTTTATTAATTGAAGTGTTCTACATCGTGCAAGAATTTCACTACTAAGGAGATAGCTATCAGCTAGAAGGTTACGCAGCTGGCGCAGTCTAGTAGATGAATAATGGAGGCAGGACATCTCTTTCAAGTTAAAATCTACTCAAAACAAAGAAACACTTTTGTGGCTTGACTTGTCGCCGCACAGCGTTCCACATAGTGTCATTTATAAATTAATTATCAATCAATAAAAAATTGTGAGAAAACTCCTGATTATGCGTAAGTCTAGAGATTTCTGAACTATCTAGTAAGTGAATCAAAAACCGGAAGTAATATATCGATAGCCTTGACTAATTTATATAAATTAAGAATGGAATAATTCTAATAAACCTAGTAATTTTCGAAATAAATTACATTTCTACGTCCAGGAGACTTTGAGTAACAAACTTGTCCCAACTATTGAGGAATATTATTTGAAAAACACATTCCAAAAATGAAAAAATGAACAGAGATTTCACTGCTGCCTATCAAATGACAAGTTACCAGGTTCTTAAAGAAAAAATGTAAAAGAACTTGTATGATGTTACTGAAATGTTGGTTGACCAATAAAAATATTAAACTATGGTTCTTTTTTTTTTTAATTCTTTAATTCATAAATGATATATGACCATCTCTGGTTGAACTAAAATAGTCATATGAACTCCAATGTACAAAAGAAAATTTAACAACTCATAATGAATCTTGTGATCTACATATACATGTAAATTTATTTTCAATGCAAACAAGTAACCAAATTTGGGTAGCCACTGCAAATTGTTAAAAACTACCACAAGAGCAGATCATTCCAAAACTAATTGACATTTACAACAAAAAAAAAGTATGTACAAAAAATGGAAGTGGGGATTTCTAAAACAAGACCAAGCTTCACACATAGTTCAACAGCTGAGAGCAAGATAATGATGAAATATTTATGCTTTGAAAAAAAGAAAGAGATAAGGAATTTACTGATAAAATGTTAAATGAATGATATAACAGAGTAGGGGAGAACTTGAGAAAAGGGACGAACAACATAAATAAACAGTGAAACCAATTTGACAAATTATTACAAATAAGAGTTCAGTATGATTTCCTTTACATTAAATATGTCACAAAAGCTGTATTTTTTAATGGAGCTGCACTTGAGCATAACAATGGGATGTGAACCTAATCTTGATGACATTAATTGAATTGAACCATTTATCAAGGAATGCCTCCACTCCATCATATTAAAATGTCTTTTTCACCTTAAAATCACAACCAACCACCTGAAAGACAATCTAGCACTCATTGTCATGCAATCACAGAGCAATTATACATATGAAAAGGAATGAAATGATCATAAACATGACATCATGATGGTTTGTGAGGTATGACATATGTACAGCAAACAAACAAAAAAAGTGTTACTGAAATAGAAAACCTAAAAATACATTTCAGTCCTGTTGATTATAGATGCCAGGGAGCCTTGGACCATTAACAGCAAGGAAAGTAGGAATTTAAAGTCATGAATAGAGCATTTCAAGAATTATTTTACATAAATGGGTATCTTCTAAAAGAAAATCTACTTATAAGGATGATAGATTTTTAAACTTAAAATAGTCGTATCATAAAAATATTAAAATTGTTGATGTCATATATTTGTGCAAATAGTTCATATAATATGTTATACTAGGTCAAAAGACAAAATAACTCATTTGAAAATAGATGCCTGCAAATAGTTTTAACTTTTTTATTTTGGTTTAATTCGTTTAGGAACAACTGCATACAAATATTCAGTCGTTACTTAATTTCATAAATTGAACATTTGAAAAATAAACTTTTGAAATAAGAAACAGAAGTTAACATCCATATATAAGCAGAAAGTGAACACAGCAAAATGTGGTCAAATGGGACGGATTCAGTGCAATATGATGAGAACCTGGCATTAAATTAGAACAATTCCACAGATCAAATGTTTACGAAAACCTCATCATTAGTTCATAAACATAAATAGTCATTTATAATTTAATCTACATTTTCTCAGGAAAAGCAATTTCTAAGTAAGAAACAAATCCAAAATGAATCCAGATAAAATATAATTAATGACTACCCTATAACTGGATAAGAAAGCTAAGAGCGGAACAAATTTTTAAGACATAATCTCTGTAAAAAAAAATTAAGCAAATACTTAAAAATACTAGTTAAAAAAGGTGAAAGAGTTTATTTTAAAAACATTTTAACATCTGCCTTTGAGGAATCACTTGTAAAATACAACTAAGAGTAATACACTTATAAAGCTGCAATTTATTTCGGGTTGCATACCAAAATGTTTTGAATATAAATGTATCAGATCAAACACGATGATTCAATAAAAAAAAAAATACAAAGAAACGAATAAAGTTAGTTTCAGAGTGACCTCAAAATAGCCAGGGTTTAGAAAAGTTTGGGGGGGGGGGGGAGAAGAAGAAAATGGGGTCCCTAATCCATTTTTATATTTCAAAAAGATTCTTGGTTATAGAGCCATTCCATAGTTAATAAATCAAGTAGTTTAAAACTTGAAGCAGATGTATTTCTAAGTTATATCTCACTTTACACATTAGGATAAAAGCCAAATAGAACTTTCTTCAGAATTCAAATAAAATCAGGAAATACTCTACCTTAAGCTTAAGATCCATAAACTATGACCATCAAAGAAAGGAGAGCGAGAGTGTTACACCAAAAATTTAAACACTGTCCATGGTTGACAATACAACTGCATAAAAAAAAAATTGATTCCATGATTTCTGTTACTGTATGTAAACACTTGAGGGACATGTATTATCAACCAAGTAAGTTTAGCACATTATAATTTGAAAGATACAGAAAATATTTATTTCAAAATACCATACAAAATACATGATGCAAAAAATATAAATAATTAACGTTTCTAATACAATGAGGGAATAAAATAGGAATTAAATAATTAAGTTCTAATAATAACCATGCACGACTGGGAGCTTTAAGGCAGGAAATATGTTAAGTAAAATCGATCTGCTACTCTTAACAAACATGAAATACCATCACTTAAATATATCTGTGCTGATTTCAAATTAAAGATTAGTACCCATAGCTGTGACAAAAACACCAATAGTAAATATTTAGCATGTACCATGAGTTTTAAACAAATACTTAACTGTAGATCTTTCACTCTCCAATCTTTTGTGCTTACCAATATTAAAGGCTATGAAATTAACCCCAAAAAACACCACATAAAACAAGTAATACACAAAGTAAAGAGGGAATTCCTGAAAAGTATTTAACCTGAAATCTTTTTCTTTAAATTGAAAAAATAAAAATGCAAACTTTTCTTTCTTTCTTTTTTTTTTTTTTTTTTTTAAAGATTTTGGGGTTTATTCTTTAAATTGAAAAAATAAAAATGCAAACTTTTCTTTCTTTCTTTTTTTTTTTTTTACAGAGCTTGGGGTTTTTGAGCAAATATCCAAACTGACCAAAGAATTTGACATTGTCTTTTAAACAGTAAAAAATATAAGCAGCTTCAAAAATGGAATAAATAAAAGTTGCAAACTTTCAGTCCATGTTGTTCTAATACTGTGTTTACCTTTTTATGATTTGATATGGTTTTGTCAGGTCATTAGGTTGTCAAATAGTATTGCAAAACTTACAACTTTGACAGATGCTTACTATGAATCATGACATAAAAAGATTTGGGGAAAACCTCACAATTTTTTCTTTGTTTAAAAATTAAAAGCATTTTAATGTATTTCTTAAAAATATAAATACTAAAGAAAACTTACAATAAGTAACACACATTTAGCATTGACATTAGGACAATCCATATTTTACACTTCCCACCCAAAAGGTACACCACCCCAAAATAAGATTATTCAGGGTTGTCCGCATGTTACCAATCTAAGCCCTATTGTAAAAATAAAATCTCGTGTACAAGTTGTCACTTGAAATCAGCAACATTTGCATCAAGAAAATATTGCTACTTGGCACCACCCCCCCTTTTATTATATAAACTTAGAAATGTATTGAAACGATACATTTATTTTATAATAACAATATAAAAAGGTGGATCTCTTCCATGTTTAAAAATAAAAGTAAACAAATTCTTCAGAAAAATGCACTTATTTATGATAAATTATATTAAACTACTTTGGGACATAAAGAATTAGTGTAATAAAAGAAGATATCTAAATGTAAATTGTTTAGTGTGTCAATGAAAATAACATATTTCATATTTGAAAGTCCTACCTGAATGCAATGTTTTAGTTGAATAGAAATGTAACAATGATGTAAAAACTACAACAAAAAAACATATTGCTAATAGGTTAACTTTAGTTATTAATTTTGATGTATGGTTTTGATGTGACACCCAACTATCCCAACCCCCCCCCCACCCCCCAAAGTCTGTATGAATATATGGATTTTTTAAGACTCTTGGTTGAATATTTTTTATAAAAAGGGTCTTTTGCAAATTAAATTTTTAAAAAAGATCATCGATGCAAAATTGTCAAATCAAAAATCTCAATTTCAGAGTGGTGCAGAGGGACTGGAATTAGATTCATGGGAGGTTCCATCACTGTAGAGATCCTGGTCATCTGTTATAACCTGGTATTGCCTTGAGTTACCATGGAAATGATTAGGAGAAACAGCTTGTCTGGCTCCTGACTGGATCATACTGGGGTGATAAAGAGCATGTCGTTTTGCATGTTTTTTCAGGTGGTCGCTGCGCATGAATCTTTTTTCACACATAGGACACTTGAAATTCTTTTCACCTGAAAATTAAAAACAAAATACATTCTTAATTGATTAATTTGTACATTGAAATACTATTAAAGTAACGACATATGTCCTGACATAATGATGTAATATTAATGTTCAATTTTAAATGTTAGGGTAAAATATGTACTTAATAATGTGACACACTTAACAAAAATACTTATGAAATAAAAATACAATGGTAATAAGATAGGGCATATTGGATTTAAAATGATTTAGATTTTTTAAAAATTAAATTAGTTACAAGTACACTTTTTAAAAAATGTCCAATTGTTTTTACCTGTATGTGTTCGTTTATGACGTGTCAATTCATCAGATCTTGCAAACCGTTTTTCACATCCATCCCAGTTACATTCAAAGGGACGTTCTCCTAAAAAAAAAAAAATAGATGAAATAATCTTGAATCATGATTACTCTAGGACAGTGGAACTGAACCTACCTCATGCTGCATTCCTTCAATACAGTTCCTTATGTTGTGGCGACCCCCCAATCATAAATTATTTTGGTTTCTACTTAATAACTGTACAGTATATGTGTTTTCCGATGGTCTTAGGCAACCCCTGTGAAAGGGCTGTTCGACCCCCACCCCAAAGGGGTCATGACCCACAGCTTGATAACCGCTGCTCTAGGACAGGCCCGCACAACTCAAAATGTAAGGCGGGCCGTAATGCATTATGAAAAACTTGTGCGTGCCAAAAAAAAAATAGGACATGACTTGTGCGGGCCAAAAAATATAGGTAAGGGGGAAAGCTATTAAGAAAATAATAAGAATAACGAGTTTTTCGTTATCTCGCGGGTCGCAAAGTGGGTGCTGGTGGGCCACATGCGGCCCGCTCTAGGAAGAACAAATTCAACAACAAAACACAAAACTGTCCTATTTAAAATGATGGATCTGATGCAACACTCTCAAACTTAACTAAGGCAAAGAAATTTTACAAATATTTTTATTGATTTGCTTGTGCCATTTGGGAATCGTCCTTACTGATTGCATGCCCCAATTAACATTAGCATGTCCTAATCAACAAAAAAGCCAACAAATTCCCAATTAACATGAATTCAACAATCAGCACATTAGAATAAGATGCTAAATTCTACGTCAAAGTATGTCTACGAACAAATATTTCAACAAATTATCATTCATTTTTCAAAAACCCAGCCACATGCTTCATTTTTAAGCGAAATGTTGACAGAAATAGAAAAAAGATATTTGTGGTATTTGTGAGTCTTTATATAATCCATGTAATCTAATTATTTAATTGATGCTGCATGCGCCACACAGGGAAAATGTCTTTAAAACTTGATAGCTGTGTTATGGATCTTTAATTATTAATAACGAGGGTCAATAGGTGGATAAAAAAAAAAAGGATGAAAGCCGACTAGCCAAAAGGCTGTTAAAAAAATTTTTATTAATATTTTGTTATGTTCAATTATGTTCTCACGTGAAATGGTAGGTAAGGGGTGGAGGAATCACCCACAGAACCAACAAAGACTAACAAAGCCATCTCGCTATTTATAGAGCCAGGTACTACGTGCTACTTGCCCAGCTGATTTGAATACAGCTGAGGGGCGGGTGAGAAGGAATCAGCTTTGAAAACAGAGCAAGTTGAAACTGGGGCCGCGTATTCCGTCTAACTTTAATAGGAGAGGGGTATAAAGAAACTTTGCGCTGACGTACGATGTATGCCCCCTATATTATGATGTCCTTTTTTTTTTTAAAGTCAAATCATTTCAGTGGGGTCATTAAAATGTTAACATATTATATAATATATTATGATATATCTACCGGTAGTGTGCTCCACGCCCACCACGGTTCTTCAATAACAAAAGAACGCGTGACCCCGACCCTTGGCTTGTTGTTCAATAAAAAGCAGCGCCTTCGTGTTTTATTATGTCTTATGGCATACCAAAAAAAAAAAAAACATAAAAAAACAAGTAATCTCGAAATCAAAATGCATACAAACTTTAAAGATGCTTTGACTTTGAGAATTAACGAACTTTGGCTTACTAATTGAATTGGCTAACAGCCTCAAATTCTCAGCAACAGCAGATTTCCAAATACATCATAATGCATGTATAACAGTGTAAAAAGTAACCCATCCCCGGGAAGGTGAAGTAATAGCTGTAAATATTGATACTATTCTTCTAGGAATAAATAGCAACATGTTGTGGTAGCCGATGCAACCAAGCAACGCCCACTATCGACTGACGTGACCTGGCACAACGCAGCTGGTTTTATAACACAGACGATGGCTGCTGTCGTCATAAGCCGGTGCCAGTAGTGTAGTTAAAAAAAAAAAAAAAACATTACAGAACATGACTTGCAAGAAGAAATTACATTTCTAAGGAACTATAAGATCAGGCGAAGCACAGGGAAGCGAGCAGGTCGAAACTGCAGTGGCTCTTCTTACATTGTTACTGTAAACATGATGGTTGCTTTGGTATTTAAATCCAGGAAGGAGGAGGGGGGGGGGGATCCAATAAATGTTGTCATGCATATACGGGAGGGTCAAGAAAAAATGTATAATGTTGGTGGTGTGTGTGGGGGGTTTACTAAATCTACCAAAAACAGCCTGACCTCATCTTTGTATTTACCCCCACCCCAAAACAACACAAGAAAAAACAACTAACAAACTCACTTCAAATTTAATTTAAAAGATGGCAAAATTAGCATTTTCATTTGCACGCCTGCAATAATAAGTTGAAATATGTCTTAAATTCTTAAAATCATATCTTTTCTAACTACCGCCCACTAAGGACTAAAACGCTTTAACTATAGCTTTGAACAATGACCCTTGCTCTGACCACTAAATGCTAGACTTACTTTGAAATTAATGGGGCTGGGGGGTGCGGGTAAAGAATTTAAGGTAGAAAAAAAAAATCAACCATCTTCATTCCCATATTACTCATCAAATACCATGTTCATGACTTGGGGAAAAATTAATTAAAATAAATAGTAAACGAGTCGCTGCGGTGTATTACTTGGGTTTAAGGACATGCAGAGTAAGTAGAAGAAGCACATTTTAAAAGGCCACTTTGTCTTAGTCTATCATCCGAAGATGATTTTATTAGCGTTTTTTTAAATACTAAAGAACTATCAAAATTATCTTTCTCTAAAATGGAAGCCGCTCATTTAAAAATGACTCTACGTAGGATTACTGTAGTACATACTTCTCAATGGCAAATTGTTAAAAAAGCAACAAAGGGTGCATTTTTTTCAAAGTAGTAAACCAATTAATTTAATTCTTGAATGAAAATCTGTCTAAATTTTAAAAAAATCAACGATAACATTAAAGCTTGACATAAAAAGTATAAGGAGACCTAGGACCTTTTCTTATCTTTCATTTTAGTTTCTACTTAATTTTTTTTAAACGAGTGCAACATTACTTATTTAAGTGGTATTATAACAGTAATATTATCACCCAACATCATAAACTAACTGTACACTGTTAGGCCTGAATATTAACAACACCACCATAAAAAGTTTCCAGCTTTATTAAATTTAAATCACCTAGTCTTAGGACTACAACTTACTCTTCAATAAACCTAAGACTAAGGGATAGTTAATAGTAATTACAATTAGCAATAGGCATTTTCTTTAGTGTTTTTTTTCAATTAAACTAAGGCCAGGTTATTAATAAATATATATATATAACTATTCATTAGAAACAGTCACAGCCTAAAGAAAAAGAGAACAATCTAGAACTGTATAACACAAGCCTAGTCCTCTAGGTCTAATACTAATGACAATAAATGAGCATGACATATAGTCATAGCATAGATGATACCCTATTATATAATAGGGCAATGGGGTTCGGGCCTATTATTTTAATACTTTCAACTATAACTTGCCAAGCGAATGTCAATGTCATGCTCATTTATTTTCATTAGGCTCATACTCATTGGGAATAAGAATTTTTTTTAATGATTTTAAAAAGGAATTAGTAGACTAAGTTAATGTTAGTATGTAGGGCAGTAGGGCCATTCATTTTATTATCAGTGGTTAATAGACTATTATAGTCATAGTTACATATATATTAATATATAGGCCATAGGGGCAGGGTGTTTAACAATTCTTATTCAGACTTACTCTTATAGGGTGACATTATTAAATGATAATGACATTCACATATTTTTATATTATTATTTTTCTACTTGTTTTAGTGTACCTAAAATAATCATGTTAGGAGTGACTTATAACTTATAATTGACAATCAGTGAATTAGGCTAAAAATTTAGTTAATGTTAATATAAATATTATTAAATTAATACCACGATAGCTCCATACATTATAGATTCTGTCCCAGGACACACCACATACTGGATAAAAAGGATTTCTCAACAAGACTAATAAAGGAAAAAAACAACCTTGACCCTCACCCAGTACCATAAAAAGATAGGCCTACACTACATGTGTGTGCTGATGCCCGACAGTTCAGGCCAAACAAAGAAAATGGCGCGTCTGATGAAAATAGAAATAGGGGTCACGCAATATATGGCACTTACCTGTATGTGTTCTAATGTGAGATTTCAAATGAGAACTTTTATTGTACGATTTCCCACAACCTGGGTGTATACACATATGAATTTTTTTCCCATGAATACTGTTGGCTTTAACATAAGCATCATCCATAAGTCTTCGGTCGAGAGTAGGCGTGGTCGCTCCATTTTTCGTGCTCGATGCAATTTCGAACGAGGCGAAAGAACTGGACCCAGTAACATTGATATTAAAATCTTCATGGTAGTTATTATCTTGCTTAAATGTTTTGAGATCAGTCAATATTCGTGCAACTAAATTTGCATTCATACAATCTCCACCTGGCAAGAAGTCCCCGTAACGATTGTGTCCTTGGTTCTCTTCTTCGTAACATTCTTGCTTGATTTCATGTTCGTTTTCCGTTTCACCAATATTTGGTGGATCACAAGTCAATACATACGTATGATCATTTTCTCTGTTTGACATAGCGAGTAAACACTGAGCTGCCATTCTAGTATCTGTATCAAGTTCAAAATTAATTGTATTCTCCTTGAGAGCCATTATGACAAAATTAGCTCTGGGGTTCATAGTGAAATTAGATCACGTCTGCGCTCGTTTTTTCGTTATGGCTACGCTGCGCAGTTGCTCACAAACATAAAGATCGAATCGAACATTTACTATTCTGTGGAGAAACACAATTCACTTCATAAAATGATTATATCCTGGGTGAATTAAATGCTTGACATCAACTAACACATTAAAATTGTTGAGTTTAATCGGTTTACGTTCGTTGCTGCTAGGTCTACCGCGTGTTGGCTTGCAGTGGGCGTGGACCATCGAAACGATAGAAACAGGAAGTTATCGCTAACCTTTTTATTGTATTATGATTGGCTGTTATAAATAGCCATAACGTGACCTGGATGGTAAATTGCATAAGTTATCAAGGAATGCCCAAATTAATGTTGATGCTGTTAAAAACAAAAAAAAATTCTTTGTTATTTATACAAATTCATCAGCTATTGCATGCGGCAAAACATACTTATGCTTGTCTTTCATTAATAAGCCACTTAAAATTAAATACAATGAAAATTAACCAAAAGAATTTAAATGTGGATATAGCTTGTCTATTAATATTGGACCAAGACTAATAAGTTTTAGATTTTAGTGTTAAGCATGACAGCTATCATTAATAAATGTATTAATTGGAATTATCAGTGAGCCTAAGGGTAAGAGGCGTACCGAGGTGTGGATAGACATGACAAATGCCCTGGGGGGCATTTAAAGAAGGGCGCTAAATCGGCTATTATTAAATTTGTTTTTAAGTTAGAAAAGGGTATAATTATTATTTTTAAGAATTATTTCTCATTATATTGTTTTGCATTACTTTATTTGCTCATTACTATAACATAAGCCTTATTAGATTTAAAGCAACTCTGCTCTATAGAGTTTCGTACCGCTTCTGTAGTTTTTTCAGGCTCTATAGCGTCTTCAATTTAAAGTTATTTGGAACAATTTTTGTGTTCCTTTGGGCTCTTTAATTAGTTTAATTGATAAGGCGAGTAAATGATAGTGATGCACCAAAATACGCGACATTTGGGGATTACAATCTGGTGTCATTTTAAAAAATAAAAATAAATCACTTTGGGCGAATATTAATTGCATTTAGTGGCGGTAAGGTACTAGCAATTGTGACACCAAATGACTGAAAAATCGAGAAAAACAAACAAACTTACTTGTGCCACACAATACCCCCGAAGACTATTCTATGTAATTAAATCTGAATACGTATAGTATAAACCGGGGATTAGCAATCTGCGGCCCACGCGCAACTTGCAGCCCGCTGAAACGTTTAATTTTAATGCGAACCGAAAGACCTGGATTGACATATATTCTTAAAATGTGAAAATTGTGAAGATTATGGGACCCTCTGCGCACAAGGGATGCCCACTTCTTATCAAAGTTGTGAGCGTTGGACAAATTTTGTTCGCGAAATCGTTAAACTCTACCGGATAATTAAAGAAAACTATGGGAATCATAACACTAGGAGTGAAATGTAACATTTTTTCAATGCGCAAGAAGTGGAATACAGAAAAGTGGGGGATTGGGGGTTCGCCCTGGGTGGCACAGTTTTTTAGGACTGTATTTTTGGCCAATAGCATAGTTTTTTTCGTGGGGCAAAAAGAGGGGGTGGGGGAGCCCAAAGGCTTGGCCCCGCCCCGAGCGGCACTAAACCTAGCTACGCCACTGATGATTAGTCATGAAATTGATTATGTGCTCGCCCTAAAGAAGTTATATTTCCTACTATTGTCTGAACGATTGATCCATGATGCCATTAGACGTGACATGCCCTGTCCAGGGTTTATTTTATACTCCACTAATAGGAAAGACGGATTGGTATGGTATATGTTGGTCACGTAATTTACCAACTTTACAACTTTTGTCTGAAAATTAAATAAACCTCAAATACTAAATACTCGATTTTGAATTCTACTATAAGAATTTATAAGAAAGAGGGAAATATACGTTTGAAGATGTCCCTGAAATGATTATAGTTATTTTATACGTTTTGTTTACGTATGTGTGTAGGCTATATTATCCACTATGTACAGGAGACCTAGAGAGTTAGAGAGAGAGAGAGAGATAGAGAGAGAGAGAGAGAGAGAGAGAGAGAGAGAGAGGAGAGAGATGGAAGGAAAGTAATAATAAATTGTAGTTATTCGACGTAAATTATTGCTTGAGCCGTACCAAAGGGGACAACTCTTGTTTTTTTTATATCCGTGAATAAAGCAGGGTATATCCCCTTGTGTATTTTTTGTTGCTCTCTCTTCATGCTTTATAAAATTGTCTGTTATTATTTTTTTCTTTGATAATGATCTAGTGAGAATATTGTTAAGAGTAATGTAATTATAATGAAATTTGATATTTTGGGGAACATACAGAATCATACTAAGTTTACCTCTCTCGCAAACAGTAGATAGTGCTAAACAAGGAACATCCCCCCCCCCCCCCCCCCAAGTTTCCCGGTTTCACCGTGTTCCAGTTTCCATCCCATCCCCACATCTCCCAGTCTCCATTCATCACTCAGACAACAGCTCGCGCTTCGCTCGCACTCATCCACGCGCTGCCAGCTAGTGTGAGCCACGCACGATATCTTATTTATTGTTTGATGCTAGACAACTGGGAAGCTTGAATAGGGTTCAAAGCCGTCTTTAGAAATTCGCTTTCCATCTCTCTTGGTAGCAACAGTTGTGACTTAGCAAACGGAAGTTTTTTGAAATTCTGTGGGACACATTTAAATGGTAAGATACCTTATCAACCTTAGAAAATACTATCAGGGTAATATAATTAAGTTCGATAAGTCGTTCCTAAATTTAAACTTTTTGTTTTGTTTTGTTTTTTTTTGTTTGGTTTTTTTTTGTTTTGTTGAAAAATCCAGAACTAAGAGTTATTTCTTATATTTATATAATTTATTTAAATTAAGATATTTTCCAGCGTTCACTTCCACAAAAAGATGACCCAAAATGTTTCAGAAAGTTCATTTCAATAGCATCATTTGCTGAGAAAACAGACATTTCATTATAAAACTTAAAGAGTTTAAGAGTCTCAAATGCACACAGAAATAAACGGTACCCATATATGAACTACTTACATTTCCCGGATAAACATGGATTTTTATTTTAAAATTTAAATCTCAAGGCGACTGGGTGCACATCAAAGCAAGAAAATGCCAGTGGATGCGAGCTGAACTTCCGTGTCAGTTGACCTGTATGTAAACACCGGCATCCAGGATCCTAAACCCTAAACTTTGGACTTGCGGTGTTCCAGCTGGATTTAGGTGCTCCGCACACACACACACACACACACACGCACGTGAGCGCCCAAGGCACGTACCCGCAGGCACGGAGTACAGGTCTGACATGAAACTACGCGTGTTTGAAATTGTGCTCACCAACAATGAGGCCGTCTACTTCTCGGGGCAAACCCTGCAGGGCCACGTGATACTGGAGCTGGAGAAAAGTGTCAAAGTTAATGGTAAGATAAGATTGACAGAAATTATATAGCGTAGGCTCCCCCCCCCCCCCACAACGTTTTGGACATACCACGCAATATCTCCTCCTCAGTTTCTACGCCAAATGCAATTTGAAAATCTATTAACATTATTTTAATTTTTTTAAATGNTTGAAAATCGAGAAAAAAATTTATTAATTGTTGGTCACTGATATTACCGCAGCGTTTCTCAACATTCTACATGTTCAGTTTTTCTTCGCCGCTGGCCGTACCGAAAGTTCTACTGGTGAAATATTGCGGTGCTTCGGCTACATAGACCCAAAAAAAAAAAAAAAAGTTATAAGCACCTTCATGTCGACATCAGTTTCTTTTATTCTCCGATAACATCTGATTTATCAGTTAATCACGATTCTTGAATATACCTAGTTGTTTTTATTGCTTATATTTACATGCATATTGAACATAAATTGTATGTTTAAATGAACTTCATGGTTCCATCAATTTTTCGGTATTTAATATAAATATAAAACAACCTAAAAAACGTAGGTTTTTCCTAAAAATCCTTTAAATTTACAGGCATTCTTGTTTGCATTTATGTAATTGTACGTGATTTATCATTCACTAAGATAGGGTTATTTTGGGTTAACTTCTGGCGAAAACACGTTTCACATCTGCTTCATTTTCCCCTTCAAAATTTTTTTTTTACCGCATATCCAAATACGTCACAAATACAAAGCACATAGCAGCAGCTACACAATTAATCTCCCCACCAAAACACGCAACCATTTCACAAATTATATTTCATTCATCTTCCCATCGAAATAAATAGAAAAACGTATTTTTGGGGGTTTGGGGAGGGAGATAGGGCTGAAAATTTGAAATCATATTTTGTCATCGGCAACGAGTAAATGTGCCAAGTTTTATTTCGATAGGTTGACGGGAAGTGGGTCAGTTAGCCGTCCGACGATTTTTCCCTAAACATAGGAAGACACTGACAAAAGCGAAGTTAATATGAAAGGTTTAAAATAGAAGAAGCTGTAAAAATAAATAACATATCTGACACAGTATTTATTTAATTTATATGTTCCTTATACATTATCATTTAGAGCAGCGGTGTCAAACTCCATCGCTCGGCGGGCAAGAGCTCAAATCGCAAGTAAGGTTGCGGGCCGAACAGGATAAACATTCAATAAGCGGAAAATTCATCTTTTTTAGAAAACATTAATACAAATGAAAACAGAAAAAAATATTTAATAATTTAAAATCATTGGCATACCCATTTTCGTTCTTATGCCAATTTGTCAGAGCTGGATGTTTGGCAAATTTTTTGACTACGAAAACAAGTAAATTCGTTAATGTTGGGAGTAATATTCTGTGTCATTGAGAATCTCATGATGGACTGCAAGTGTTTATCAGTGAGACGACTCCTCTGTGATGCTTTTTTAATCTTCATCGCAGAAAACAGCTACTCACACTTATATAATATGCTACTCAACATGCTCAAGTTTCGAGACGCAAGTAGACGAAGCTTGGGCATCTCTTCAGGAAAGAAACGAGTGAACTGTGCAGGCACAACTGTGTCGTACTTTTCATTTAGTGCCCTATTACACTGCAGCTATATTAGCTCCATCTGCAAATTTACAGGTGCAGTTTCCACGTCTATGACAAATGGGTTACGAAACAGCTCGAAATTACATTTCTGCGCTTCAAAGTCACTATAGCGCCGTGCGAACTCGGAAGTAGGCTAAGTTTTTTCAGCAAAGTGTGCATTGGGAAACACCATAGCGTTGACTTGGATATAATTGTACGCCGGTCAAGACCTTGCGG